TTCTTCGTTGCTTCATTAGGTCCAGCGACTTTCATGTAGTTTCTGGTTACATAATGGGATCCATTAGGGGTGCCAAATATACTTTCTAGCCAAAAAACAAACAAACAAGACACACATACCAAGTAGAAAGAAAAAAGCGTTGAAGGAAGGTAAATTTATCATGTCTGACCCTGACATTTGTGTGAGGCAGCTTTGAAAATGTGTTGGCAAATGAATTTGCAGATTTGTGAGGCAACATGAAACATCAAACAAATCATCTACTAACGATTCACACTCTAACTACTGAAGCAGCTGCTGAAGCAGATGGGGCAGACACTTCATACAATATTTGCAGTCTCGTGACGCACTCGCAAATTGACGAACTCCACGGCCTCAAACAATGCAATCGCCGGGGGGTAAACGAACTGCAAAACTATTTGCACTCCGGAGACGGAGACGGCAGCGGCAGCAACAGCAGCAGCCAACGACCTCTTGACAGGCAATGCACATCGTTTGCCTGCCTGGAGAGTAGCCGCATTAGAATTACAAGACCCCAGACCCCGCCAGGCCCACTTCCACTTCCATTTCTATTTACATTGAATTCAATTAATATGCAACTAGCGTTGTCAGGTGCCGATTGTCATCATCAAAATTCTTTATTGATTGCCCCCGAGAGCCGACTCTCGACTCTCGAGTCGTAGAAACTACAATAATTCATGACGTTGACTTTCATTCATAAACTGCGCTCGCCGTCTGTCTGTCGTTCCGTCTGGGTTGTAGTTGAATATGCAGTGAATGTTGCCATTAAGTTATGCATATTTTCATTTACTTGCTTACTGAGTGAAGGAAAGTTCTGTAGAAAGTTTTTGAAACGAGTTTTCCGCTTGTCAATCAGGGAAGCAGCAACAATAGAACAGACATTATTGCTCATCATTAATAGAAACGTAAGTGAGTTCTCTCTCAGAGGCATGTGATTTTAAGCACGTTCTAAACAAGGCAGCAGCTTGTTTGCAGCAGACTTTTCGTTACACAAATGCACATGCACAAATCCAAGCAGCTGAATGCTCGTTTAGTCAGTACTGAAGATCCAGAGAGTGGGCATGGAGGGAGAGGAAGAACGGTAAACACATGCAGTCGGCACACTGCTTGTGTTGTTTAGGGTGAGCAAGCAATAACAAATGTTATTGCTCATCAAAGCTTAGAGCGTGGGTGTGGGTGTGGGTGTGTGTTCTCTCACGCATGCACAGCCATGAGAGGAGAGGAGAGAGGGAGACACAGAGTGATGCGGAAACTAGAAACAGAAGCGAGATCTATTGAGTTTTGGGAGCGCTCTCTCTCTCTCTCTCTCTCGCGGTATTTAGGCAAGGCAATGCAGTCATAATGGAAAGTGAGAGAAGCGACAAAATTAGAACAGGCGTGCATGATTCCATGTGACGCAAAGAAAAGAACAATTGATTTCATAATAGGTGTTTAGGCAGCAAAAATCTCTTAAAACAAATTCTTATCACATACAAACATTTATTTGAATATCTCCTATGAGAATATTGTGTGGTACAACGTACTTGAACGTATTGCGTCACCATAGAGATTATTTCTGCAGCGTGTGGGCAGCAGCCTCAATGACGATCGCTTCGAAGATCTCGCAAGCAGAGAGAAGAGCAATCTATTGTGGAAATATCCAATAAAGTTGTTTTGCGGGAAGTAGGCAAACATCAAATATAAATAATAATAATACTTCAACTTTGGTGAACTCTGCTCTCAGTAAATAATGCTACTTAACTTTGCAATTTGCTACGTTCCACAGATGTTCGAAATCCACTTATCCATCGAAATTATCGTACATTTTACTTTCCACGGAGTATTTTTTTTGTTTGTATATTTCGTATTTCAATTCGTTTGGCAAAATGTCAAACGCAGGCCAAGTTATTGAACCCATCGGAAATCGGTGGAAAATCTCTGCCTATAATTCAATATCAATTCGTTGGACAATTGTGAAAGTTCAACGAATTTGAAATTTAAATTTGAGTTCATCGGATGATGCCCTCTTCCACCTTCTCCACCTCTTTGCCACAATGTAAGGTATTAAGAAATAATCATCAATTGGATTGGCATTATTTAAATGATTCAAATGATTTCAAGTAGCAGTTTTCTGCCATCTGATTGATATTTACTTGTTGTTGTTTCTTTGTTTGTGTGTTTTCGTTGTTTTTGTGAAAGTTGTTGAACATTTTTGCGTGCGCGAGGGAAATATTTTATTAGTTTTGCTTGGAAAGTGAATGCTGGAATGACTGAAAATTGCTATCCTAATGGTCACACACACACACACACACACACACGCATATCAGTCTTTCAATCGGAGTTTGATATTTGCTTTGGCAAAGTGCAACCTGTATAACTGTAAAAGATCATGGAAATTATCAGGCAGACAAATCAGCAAAGTCAACACGCACACAAATGCAGAAAGGCACTCTTGATGACTATATTTTACGGCATCAAGTGGCATCCACAGACGGTGGCCTCTCAGCCCGAACCACAGCTGCAGCTCCATCTCCCCACCTTTCAGCGTTCAGAGTCCAGGCAACGGCAGTTGGTCTGTTTTCAAAAGTCCAGTAACGAAAACACAAAGCAAAGCCCTCATTGCGTCTGTCCCGTTCCAGCCGCTATGAGTGTGCAGGATATTCGAGCACCACTTGGCCACTGGAGCCTCCACTCCTCCACTCCACTGCACTCCACTTTCAGCTGGGACTGTCTGTGGGCCGTTAATTGTCCATCATATAAAGAAACTTTCTTGATATGTCAGCGTTATTTAGCCAGAATGGTTCCGAGAACACTGAGAAATGCCGTTTAAGTGTTTTAATTTGACGTGCCCCACAAGGACTTCGGCGGCATAAAGGTTTCCCTCTCCTCTTTTGGGACTTTTCGTTTGATATTTATAATTGGATAAAAGCACCTCCGTGTGGGTACTAATGGAATAATGATTATCCAGCTGCTTAAGATATCTGCAAATATCAGCATCAGTCAGCAATCAGTCATTGAGTGATCGTTAGGTCTGTCATTCTCAAGGAGTCTTCTCTTCTTTCATCCATAAACTTGTCAAGGGGCTGGGCTCTATTTTCGCTCGTAGAATGCATCAAAACTAAACCGTAGACATGAGGTACACTGCCATACATGTGGCACTCAAAATGCACTACACGTAATTACGCGACTCCTCCTCGCCTCCGAAGACAAACTAGAACACGTCTGCGTCCCATGTACGTGCTGAGCCTAAGGAACTTTTTATGTTTGAGCGGGGTGGGGAGCTGTGCTATGTGTTCTATATACACTGCAGATACTTACACTGATTTCTGGGTTGGTTTTTGTGTCGCCCTTTGTTGGCTATAAATAACAATGCTCGTACTTTGCAGACACAAAAGAAAAATGCAACTCAATAATGGCGACAAGACAGCGGGATAGTCTCGGTCTCAATCCCAGAGCCGATACTCTATACAATTTAACGGCTTTTGTTGCATAAATCGAGCTGCAGCAACATTTGTTATGCGATTGCAATCTTTTTGTTGGCAAGCAACAAAAAATGGCGTCGATCGTTGACAATTGTGCAAAAGGCGATGAATATTTATGGCCAGGCCCAGGCTCGGGCCCTTGCAGCAGCATCCGACCCACCACCACATCGACAGCACTGCCGGCAGTCAGACAGTCCATCAGACACTCTGGCTGTCAATCAGTCATTCACACACTTTCAGGCGAAAAGAAAGCCAACAATTATAGACACTAATAACAACAAAAAAGACGGCCAAATATATGACAACAGGTTAGCGAACCTCCTCCCGAAAACATTTGCATGCCAAGGCACACGAGCAACAAAGACAAAGAGATGGGAGAGTGAGCGAACGAAAGAAGGCAAGAGAGAGAGAGAGAGAAAGAGAGATAGCAATTTCTTGTCGCTACACGCGTCGCCTGCCAAGCGTCCCCAGAGCAACAGAGCTTCAGGCCCAGCCCCTACCGCCCCAATAGATGTTTATTATGCAATGAGCGTTTTTTTCAACAACTTGACAAACTGAGCCGTGAAAAAACAAACGACTTGAATCTGTGGTATACACTTACTGCCAAAATAGGGTATATGCAGTTGGGCAAGCAGTGTATAGAAAGCCACACTCAATGCAAGCAGTGTAAGCAGCTGCAAACGGAACTTCCACAAGGAGTGCGTGATATTTGTACACTGGAACAGAGAGCTCTCATTAGGCAGAACAACTTTGGGTATAAATACGAATTATTTAGTGGACCATTTACTCCTTAAAGTAAGAGTATCCCACGTTTAAGCTCAAGTCCAAATTCCTTATTGCAGCTTACAGGTGATTTTTTTCATTATTTACCTTTATTGCTGCTGTTGTCAACGTGCTTTGGATGCTATCTCTTCCGCCCTCTCTTTCTCTTTGTCGAATCTGTGCCTGAATCATAGCCCGTCCGAGTGATGATCGGAATCGGAATGGGGGGTTCTGAAACCACGATGCGTAGTTCACAAACAAGTAATTTCAATATAAATTGCATGTTTTACACATAAATTCAGACTCTAAAGCCACTTCAATTTTTGAATATATAGAAGAGACGGACGGCGACGGACACTGCTTGTGATTATATTGCATTCGTAAATGCCTGATGTTCAGGTGGGAATGCGCACAGGTTTGCTCTGCAGGCGGGATGACTTGTGAAAAGGAAGTCCAGGTCATAAACAATATGGCAGGGGAATGAGTGGAGTGGAGTGCGTTGAACCCACACCCATCATCGTGGCTTGGGTTACCATTGGGATGCCATAATTCTGTTTGCTTTGCAATTTGGGAGTTTCTGTTGTTTTTGTTTCTTTGGGGCCGCCTGTCAAAATCTGTTGATATGTTTGCCGTTATTTACAGTTAGGTGGCGGTTCCTTTAGAAGTTCTTTCAAATAATGCGAGAATATTCTCAACCTTTTATGACTCGAGATCTCTTCTCATTTTCTCTTCTCGCTCTCTCTCTCTCTCTCTTTACAGAGCCACAAAGATGGTGTCGCGACGTAAAATTCTATCACGTTCACGCGATGATCTTAATCTTGACCAGACATTCACCCAGCAGGAGGAGGAGGAGGATGTCTGGTACCAGAAGGATAAACTGTACAAGGTAAGTCCACGGAAATCTTCAACCAAAAATAACCAAAAACGAAAAAACTGACTTCCGCCTGACAGTTGGCTGGGGGCTTCTATGATTTGCTTCTATTTTCCTGCGGCTGCCTCATTCTCAACACGTGCGGTGACGACGCTGACGACCGTTCCGTTCCGTCCCGTCCATCCGACGTAGCGACGTTCAAGCCACCGCATTGAGGTCAGCATGAAACGCACTGTACTCGTACTGCTGAGGTTTTGCTGCTTGCCTTTGCTGTTGGTGTTTGTTTTTGTTGTTGTATTGACCAATTGCATTAATTACCGTTAGGCCATCGCATTGCGTTGTGCATTTTTAATTTGCCTATGGGCCAAGGCAGTAAAAAAAACACAGCCAAAGGCGAACAGCTCGCAGCTCGCAGCAAATGGCCAACGACCAGTGGGCTGTAGCAGCAGTAACTATAAAAAGAAATAGTTATGGGTAGCGTAGCCCTAATGTTGGGACAAGCCCAAAGCGCACGAGCTCAGCGCACGAGAGGCAGAGGCAGAGGCAGAGAGTGATTTGAGTGCAGCTAAACAGCAGGGAATAGAGCTATCCTGATGGAAGTACTGCCAGCTGAAACCGAAGAGATAGTAAATCAGCTGAGAGGCAGAGAGTGCAGCATTGCCAGCACACACCAAAAAGAGAAGCTGCCGCTTCTTTTCATTTGATTTTGTTTTGTGTGTGGGAATTCCATTGATGAGACTTTTTGCCGAACAGTTTTACTGTCTGCGTGTGGGAGTTTGGAGACCAAACCCATTTGCAGCTTAGCGCTTTATTGTGACTGCAAGCAAGTCAACACTTTGGGCCTTAAACTTCATGGCAGACAAATCTTCAATCATCGTTTTGACTATTTAGAAGTTTTCTCAACTGATTTGTGCACTCTTCATGCTAACTTTTAGCTCTTTGTGTCTGAAGTTTCTCCAACTGATTTGCTCTGTGATGTGTGCAGAGCAGCAAGCTGAAAAACTAGAGGAAAAGAAACATCCAAAGACTGCCCATTAAATTGATGTTTTATTTCTAATGGAGATTTGCATAAATTTTGGTTGGCTTGCATCAGCGATTCCAGAGCCAGAGCCAGAGCCTCACCCCAAAAGTGAAAAGCGTGCGTCTGCTGCCTCTTGCCTCTATAATTCTCTCTCTCTCTCTTTCTGTCTTTGTGTTGCAATTAGCGTGAGCGTGGCATCTATATAATTCCGTTTAGCCTGGGCTCCCCTGCCACACACAAAGGCGTCTCACAAAATTTGTATTTCCCATGATGGAAACGGCAACAAATTATGTCTGCATTTTCCTTTTGTCGTTGCTCCCCATTCAAAGAGTTAGGCCCTTTGATTTGCTTTTTGCCCGGGGGCACTTATTGGGCAATCCCTGTAGTTGTCGTTGTTGCAGCTTGTTGCTTGTTGCTTGCTTCGTTTCGTGTGCCATTTTCAATATTGCTTACAAATTTATTATCTGGGAATTCCCCCAGAGACACTCCACCGCTCCAATAGACATCTCCATTAGAAGGCAAAACAAAAGACTTAAGCAACGAACTGCTGCCGCATGCTGCATGCTGCATGCCACATGCAGAATAGAATCATCTGTGGCTGTGGCTTGTTTTCCTGTGAAAATGAAAGTTTTTCTTCGGCTGGTTTTCGCTCCTTCTGCCATTTTCCTTTTGTTTTCCTTTTCGTTTGCGTTTCGCCTTGCTGCTTGCGGCACCCGTTCACCTGGTTTCGGTGTCGCTTTTGGCCAGGCCTGAACAACAGGATTTTTGTGTGGCGTTGGCTCAACGCCGGAGCAGGAAAAACCACTAAAACGAGACACACACACACACACACACACACACGAGACACACTCACATGTACACATGTGTTAGGCTTCAAATTCGAATAAATTCAATGGAAACGCTGCTGCTGCTGCTGCTGCTGCTGTTGTTTACTTTTTGGTAGTTTCTTTCTGGTTTCGGTTTTCTATGGATGCCGCACTTCATCAATGTCCCAGGACCAATTGAATTTCCTGCTCAATTATTAATTGATTTACCTTTTGACGGAAGAGTCGCCTCCGGCGATTCGAAAAGTCATTCCAGCTCGGCTTTTGCCAGCTTTTGGCATGAAATTTGCATAAATTATGTGAGCGTTGAGGGGGGGTGCCAATGTGGGTTATCCAAACAGCAGCCCAAATGGGGGAAAACAATAAACATATCAATGAACTTTCGTACATGAATCGTTCGTTCGTTTGTTCGGGCATGAAGATGCAACCTGTCACAAAGCGAGACAACAACAAAAAATGAATCTATCAAGACCATAATAATTTGAGGCGATTGCATCTATTTGTGGCCCGACACAAAGCGAACAACAGAGAAAAAACAACAGCTATAGAAATCATTTTATTAAATGTCAACTCTGATCCAGCAGCAGCAGCAGCAGCAGCTGCTTGGAGTCTCCTCCGCGAGAGTCGTGACTGCAAAAGTTCAGCAACATTTTGCACAAAAAAGTGCAGGCAGGCAGCCACACAAAACCGCAAAGATTCTCAGCCTCATCTTCTTCTCGGCTGTGTGCGGTGGTGGTGTTGCACGTGTTGCAAGCCGATCAGTGTGATCCATTAGAGCTCTTGCGACAGAATAAATAGACATTAATTACGCCCCGAAAATGCGCTCTGCCGGAGACACAAAAGTTCTGCAATCATGTATCATGTTTCTGCAGGGTATTTGTAGGGTATGTTAGAGCAGAGACAACTGCGATACCTGCGTAACGGGCATGCACGAAAAATATCTTCTATTTACGGGTATTTGTATCTCGTTCTGGGTTGCTGCTGGCCTTAATCTCTTTCATATGCTAATGGATACGCCCGAATAATGAATAATATGAATGCAAACCCGTTCGCTTGGGATCGAATGCCATACGAAACTTGTTCCCAGACTGGCCAAAAAATCAGCATTACGTATACGTATAGGAGAACACGCGCTGGGCCTGGGCCTGGGCCTGGGTCTGGGCATGTGGCGTGGCAAGGCAGTGGCTGTATGTAGCTGCTGCAACTCAGGACTAATTAAAAGCCACAAGCAACTTCAGATGAACCTCGGCATTTTGAGGTCGTCTGTTTTTACTTTTTTTGTGGTGGCAGGGAGGGAGGGAGGAGAGTGCCCCTCTGCACACGGCCTAGAAATGTTATGAGCTTTAACCAGTTTTGGCCGACACTTGAGCCTACAAGATTCTTGGCAAAGTGAAAACCTGAAGTGAATCTGCCCAAAGAACACGCCACCAAAATGAAATCAAAAGTGCTTCCAAGCAGCTCGCGGCTCGAGGCTCTCGTCTCAATCCCAAGTACGCAAACGCAGAGCATCTGAAAAGGTTAACAAGTTTTACTACATGATTTATTTGCATTTTTAATGTGTGTGCGCGCCTCTGATCATGAAGCTCTGATGCTGGATCTAGCTGCTGGCTCCGACTCTCAAGAGACGCAGCCCGAGAGCTGCCTAGACAAGTTTTGCCCAAAAAACAAATGAGTGAGTCCGTCCGTCTGTAGAATTGTAAGCCAAGAGCCAAGCCAAAGCCAAAAATTTGATGTTTACTGTGCTTGCCTTTTCATATTTAATTTTTTATTATTACCCCCAAAAAAAAAGAGACCGAAATTGTGGGCATGTTGGTTACTGGGCTAATGGCTTTGTTTATGACGGTTCTTTGTTCGGGTTAATTGAGCGTCAGCCGGGCCGGGCCAGGGGAAAACGCCAGCTGTTGGCTATTTGGACTTTTCCTTTGAATATTGCATACAGTGAGTTTCGGCAGCATATGATGTGCGGCTGATGTGTGCTCTAAAAATCTTTCAATAAGTTTCCAAGGAATTCTACAATTTAATTGCCACTGAGATAGGGTAACTCTGTAGATGTTGATCAAGTTATTGGAATAGTATTCACGGAATTCAGTCACAAATGTGTATATAGAGCCCGGTTTATATACCACACAGATCCAAAGCAGAAATGTAAAATATTTTCAAAGTGCACTTAGGCATGACGCAAGCCCAGAGGAGAGCAGAGCAGACAAAGCTGCAATCAAAAGCGACTTGCAGGCACTTCAAATATCTATGCATAAAAGTACTCGGCTCGTATTCATACATATATTGTTGGATATAAAAAGAGACTTCAAACCGAGCAGAGCAGAGCAGAGCAGCGCAGCGCGAACCAACCCAAGCAGCAACTACAAAGCAGTGCAAAGCAGTGCAGCGCAGTGCAGTGCAGAGCAGTGCAGCGGCTGGCCACCAACAAAAAGCAAAGCCGTATCATTGCCTATAATTTTACACGTCTAACTGCACCACGAAACGAGCTGTGGAGCTGGAGCTGAAGCTGGAGCTGGAGCTCTGGCTGGCTGTTCGTGTCAGCATTTGCTCCGATTTGATTTTAACTTTTATTTAACAAACTGCAAACACACACAACGCAAACGCCGAACGGCAAACGCAAACACAGACTGATGCTTGTAATGGCAGCCAGCGACAAAAGCAACAACAAAATAAGTAAAAGTAAAGTGAGTGCAAAATAACAACAACAAAGTACAAACTTAAAACGCAAGCGCCCAACAAGGCCGTTCACTTTGGCAAGCACATAGACACACCAGACAGACAGAGAGACAGGCTGAGCGAGAGAGTGAGAGAGATAGATCACGATGGAAAGTGAAAATTGGCAGCATTAGTAGTGCTGGTGGTGTCTATTGGGCATGTTTTTCTTTCATTTTGGAAGAGTTTTGGGGATTTGCTGAAGGAATTTCCATCCTAGAATCCTTTGTCGACATTTACTTTCCTTAACTATCGTTTTCACTATCATTTATATATTGCAGGAACACATACAGGAAGTGCTGGACAAATGGACCCAAATCGATGACGAGATCTGGGCCAAAGTAATTGTCTTTGAGCGCAATCGACGTGTGGCCAAGGCATACGCACGGGCCCCGGTGCTGACCATTAATGGCTCCGACGATGGCTTCGACGGCATGCGGTGAGTAGTCAGTCCGGTCCAGTACAGTCCGCCCCATTTGCACACCCATATCCATAATTAACGGTCATTGCAAGGTGTACAAACAGATGCGCAAACACACACACACACACACACACACAGAGTGACAGTGGAAGCATGAACACCGCCAAAACGAAAACATATTAAACATGAGCACACAATGCCTTTGAACTTTGCTAAAAGCAAAACAAAATGGGATGGAAAAAAAAAAAGACATAAATAATTATGGAACTGGCAAAAGTATGTGCCGTGCTGTGCCCTTGACCCACTGGCAAAGAAAATCCACAGCAGGAGAGAGGAGATGAGAGGAGAGGAGAGGAGCGAGCCCTTGCGATGCCTCATCTCATCTTCTTTCTCTTTGACGTTGACTGAGCGGTTGAGGGTATGATGGGTTTGCTGGGAAGTTTGTCACACACACAGGCAGATGGGCAGATGGGCAGATGGGTTCCCCCTTTACATATTGATGTAAGTTCGAGGGCATTCACAGCTTCGATGCTTCGATGGCCTTCCCCCCTTAATACGCGTACAATAATTAATTGCTGTTGATATGCTCTCGAATGAGCAATGAATGAAACGCCCATCAAATTGATGGGCATGCGATTAAAATTTAATTCCCCAGATGAACTTCACTCCGCCAAGAGGCTGACTGTCCGCTGGAGTAGAGAACCTTCGGGCATGGAGCATGGAGCACGGAGCACGGACAGGGGCATTGCAAAATGCTCGACCTTAGGGGCAACAATTTGTAGCATGTGAAAAAGCCAAGTGAAAAAGGCGAGTGAAAATGCTATAATAATTGTACGTTGCTCCGCAGCTCCTCGTGGGGTTATTTCTTGTATTTTTATTTTTCTTCTTTTTCTTCTTTTTTTTTGGCATTAAATGAGCGATTTCCGTTTTCGGCCAAAAAGCAATTTATGCCAAGAATTTGGCTCTTTTTTTCGTGTTGTTGTTGGAGGTCTTCCGAGAGGTTCTTCGAGAGGGAAGGGTGCTGGCATGCAGTCGTCTAATTAACATATTCCGTTTCAAACAGCAACAAAAAAATAACCATATTGCCGTTGCGTGCCACAAACTGGCGGAAAATGCCAAATGCCGTACACTCAATTGTGTCTGTGGCAATTTTTGGGTTGTGCCACGGCCGCAACCCAAGCAGCGGCCCCAGCATACAATAATCGCAAATGTCAAGAAGTTTTGGGAGCATAAATTCTATTCAATGGATCCTACGTACGTATGCATAATGCATTGGGAACTCAATGTGAAGCGCAAATATTGAAATCTAAGAGGGCGGAGAGACGCCACAAAGAAATGGAATGAGATGGGATGGGATATACCAAAAAAGGGCATCAAGTGCCTGGCATCATGGCGGCTTCCTTTGTGGACTTGGTCGCAAAATAAAGTTGCTGCTGCTGCCGCCAGACCAAATGTCAACCGCACAAAAACCAACGAGCTGGTGTTGGCAAGGAGGGGCTGGAGTGGCGGATTGGTGTGCAGGAGAGTAGAGATTGGGACAATGAAGATGGAGATGGAGAGGGATAACAAATGAAATTGAAAATAATAACGAAAGTCATTCCATTCAATTCGTTTTCATTCGTGACGAGGTCATCACAGATTGCCAATGCAAATTGCTCTTGTCATTGCACATCTTTCCAACGGTTTCTCTCTCTCTCTCTCTCTCTGTCTCTCTCTGGCTTTTCGCTTCTTCCATGGCTCTCCCACTCGTTTTGATTGCTCTCCCGCAAGGTGTTTAACAGCAAGGTGACGCGCTCTCTCTCTCTCTCTGCTGTCTGATTGTGTGCACACTCCACCTTAAACTTTCAGCTGTGGCTCTGTGGTGGATCCTTCTCTCTGCTCTGCCTGTCGTCTGGGCAAATGTTTTTGCTTGTTCATGTCAATTGGAGGTTAAATATGCCAGTAGTAGTTGTTGCCAACTGCTTTTGCATGCTGCAGGAGGATAGACGATAGAGTGTCAGGTTAATCAATTGTCGATTGGCGCTGAGACCTCAAACATGACTCCACCATACAAACAAACAAACAAACAAACAGCAGAGGCAAAGGCAAGGGCAGAGGCAAAAGATAATTTATGGCGATGCAGGCCTGTGGTCCGACCAAACAGACCCTTGTACTTGTCATTGCCATTGTCTTTGGTTTATCGCCTGTCCTAGGGCCAAGCAGCAGCAGCATCTTGTTTGTTTAATTAGCCGCTGTCAGTGCTTGTTAGTTGGTGCTACTACCACTCGTATCTTTCGCTCCGCCCCTGCCCTCCAGCGGCATTTGAATGTGTCGACTGGCAGGCTGGCAGGCAGGAGACATCATCTCAGCCATGCATACAGAATTTTAATTCACACGCAATGCATTTCATTGGAAATCTAGCAGATATGCAAATGGGTGGAATGGCTAAACGACAAACAGAGAGGAGACGGCACTCGACAGTCGACAGTCGACAGTCGACACTCGACTCCGATGAGGAGTTGCAAAAGTCGCTTGTGACACATAGAAAATAACCATAACAATGAGCATAAATTTGACTGAACAATGCAAAATAATTCCAAAAGGAGTTCCATGCTCTCTTCCCCCTGCCCGATGGCAATCACTAAACTAAAGAGAGTCTGCCGGGGGCCCATCGATGGGATTGCAATTCCGATTGCTAATTAAACACGAGACTTTGTTTTGTGTACTTCCATTTTTGTGTGTTGCATGCTGCACATAGACCCAAAAATTTCCATTGCCAGCAGGATCTATCTACAGTTGCTGCTGCTGCTGCTGCTGCTGCTGCTGCATGTAAATTAATTAATTAGACTGATGCTGGCAGTGTGGCTGTGACTGTGGCTGCTTGGCGTGGGCTTTCAACACACGACCCCACACACGCACAGACAATCCAGCGATCAATGAACACTTTGAGTTGGAACAAGCGCATTTAATTAATGGCCAATCCTTTGTTTAGTGGCTTAGACAATCCCTCCCCCGCACAAAACCCCTGCGACTGCTTGTTTTAGGCCACAATTGTAATGGCGCCAATATACAATTTGCAGTTTATGACAGTTTCAGTTGATCTTTCATTCCCCTTTAGAAGAGTGAGTCAGGGTATACGGAATATCAAGCGCAAGTAATGGAAGGAACTGCCATAGCAAGGGTACTCAATGCATCGGTTTGTTTTTTGTATTTGAAACACTTCACTGCGTGGGCGTGGCCAATCAAAGTTTGCATGTTGCTGGGAACTGCTTGCTGGGGGAGGTGGGAAAGAGAGGGGGGGAACAAATGAAATGAAATCAAATGGAAATCAAATCATAACATCAAGCTGGGGATTGCAACAGACACACTTTATTTGCTGTGTTGTGCTGCATGTTTCGTGCGGAAAAAACTGAGGCAAAACTCCGGGCGCGACCCGGAGGCGAGCCAAGGTTGGCCCCGTTCCAGACAAAAGACAGTTTTTTGGCTTGGCGTCAGTTTGCAAAAAAGCTAACAGTTTCTAGTCATTGTAGCGGCAGCCGCACACGTGCCACATTTGTCAGTGCAGGAGGGCAAAAGAACAATAGTCAAATTGTGGCGGCCTTCGAGGTACAATTTAAGGTGTGACTCCAACAGAAACTGAAACTAAAACTGAAACTGAAACTGAAACTGGAGCGGGATATGATCTGATCGAGCTGTAGCTGGTTGGCAGGGCCATAAATCTTGTCTATAATTAGCCATAATCTAATTAAAGCCAAAACTAGTTGCTCGATCACATGGAAAGTGTCGATTGTTCCTTAGCCAAAACATATCACAATAAATATGTACATATAACTTGATCCGTGCATACATATAGCAGACATACGAGTGTGTCTTTGCTATGGTATTTTTAACTGAACCGGTTGGACACATTTTTTTTTTTGCTCACACTAGCCGCAGGTCAAAAGCTGTTACCAACGCTTTCAGCCGTTCCAAACCAGTTGCCGTTAACTGCAGCTTGCTGCGGCTACAACAGTTACTGCAACGACATGGACATGGAGTTGGAGTTGGAGTTGGAGATGGTTGGCTGGCTGGTTGGTGGTGGTGGTTGTGCCGCTTCCTCGAAGAAGCAGCAACAGCTCGTCCTCCAGCTTGACCCACTGCACACGTTTAACTTGAACTCCAAAATCGAAGCAGTTTCCAGTTTCCAGTTTCCAGGTCTGGGTCTGCTGCGACTTGTGCTGCCACTCTCGCTTTCAGGCGCTGCAGCCGCCTGCCTGCCTTTCGCATTTTCAACTCATTTAGGCGTGTCAAGTGAGGTCCAGTCCTGAGACCAGACGACCTTGCAACCGATATGTACAATATACACATAAAGATATCGAAGTGAATGTTGAGCGGACAAGACATGCTCTGAATATATGTACTACAATGTACTCCAACTGACAGTGGGTTTGGCTCTAGTTCTGGTCTGATATTGGCATTCCTTTTGGTATTCTAGCCCGCTTTTTGGCATTCAATTTTAATAACATTTCGGTGTTTTTTTTTTGCTATTTGCTTTTTGCTTTTTGCTTTGATGGCTTGAATTTAACGAAGCATTTACTAAACAAAGAACTGCAAATCCGCTTTTGGCAGATACTCGAACTGTGTGTGGTGTGGTGTGGTGGTGGCAAGGCAACCTTGAAAGGCATTCAACATACATCAGCAAGCAGTAAGAAGCAGCAAGCAGTAAGCAGCAGCAAGCAGTAAGAGGCAGCACCAGCACCCGTCCGTCCATGTCGATTTCATTTCATGAAAAACTTTGACACACATTTCAACGGTTTTTACAAGCATTTAGCCAATAAATCAACGCCAGTGCGGCAGACGTTACGGGCAGAACTAAAGCACATGGCCAAATGCCAGCCAGTCAGTGTACGATGCTAACGGCGATTGTTGCCTCTTTGTGGTTGGTTCTTACTTGCTGCTGCTGCTGCTGCTGCTGCTGCTACTGCTTCTGATGTTGCGCTTTGCTGCCTTGGCAGCGCTTCATTATACAAATTAACATAAAACATAATAGTGACAGAGCGGCGTCAAGTGAGTTGGCCAGAAATAGAGGCAGAATAGAGGCAGCCACAGGAGCAGCAGCATCATCATCATCATCTTCTTCATGCCGTGGCCTTTTATGCAAACGACAATTACAATTAGCTTGGTTTCATTGTCTTGCCGCTGGGGGCCTGCCTGCTCCGTGCTGCCTGCTGCCTGCTGCTGCTGGGTTTACCTTTGCGGCTTCCTCTTGCCGCTTCTTGTTAGCATTTCTGCCGACATTTTCGGCGACGCGACCTTAGGCAAAGGCAGCAAAAAAAAAACAAAGTCACAAAGATGAAGATTGGGGGGAGAAGAGTCTGGCAAAGCCAGAGTCACATTCATCATTCGCTTTGGCAAAGGCTGCAGTTGGCGCAGCTTCCATAGTGGAACTTACTTTTGCCTGCCAAGTGCCAGGCAGTCTATGAACTGCTTGGAGCGCACAGCAAGCAGTGCAGTGCAGTGCAACGAACTGTCGGCAAAGCAATCCACTAATGACTCAACTCTTTTTTTTTTTGGCAGACAAAATTAGAAGAAAAGTTGAGGCCTTGGGGTTGCAAAATATGAAATGTTCATGCTGCACATTTTGGGCAAACAGCTGCCACACTTTGTGGCAGCATGTACAAAGTACCGAGTATGTGGCATAAATCATTGTCAGGCGATTGAACGTTCTGTTCGAGTCCCGGGGCCCCAGACCAATGCCCACGGCCAATGCAATGTTTTGTCAAACGTTTAATGGAACAAAATGCGGCGCACAGACACGACAGTGAGTCACCTCTTCAGCAAGCAGCCAGCGAACCAACCTCAATTCCAGAAAGTGAATGGCGCCGCCGCGCGTCGCCGCCGTAAAGTGGCAACAGTTTTGGCAACATTTTGCTGCCTGCTGCTGTGTGTGTGTTGTCTCTTGGCTAATGCGGCAGCTGATTGATTTGCAATTAATAAAATGTGGCTATGATTGTCTAATGATTGCCCAACTGGGTCTACCCATACCCTCCTCTCTCCCCCTTTTGCAGAATCGGCCTGTGCGGCTTCGACAATCCGATGCGGGACCAGAAGACGGACGAAATGAAGCGCGTCATCGGGCAGGTAAGAGAATCAAATTGAACATTTTACGGCACAATTAAGCGACAACGGCTTAATTAAATTAGCTTGTGAGGCTGGCCATAAAAAAGCAACCAAAATATGTGACAAGAAACATCCATTAGCCGAAATCAAGAATAAAGATTTCAAAAGTACTTAAGAAACTTTCGTCTCGCGTCTTTCTTTTGCTCTAATGCAGGGCGTGAAGATCAAAATGGACGATGCTGGGAATATACTCGTCCGCCGCTATGCCAAGAGCAATGTTTACGTCAAGAGCACCGCCAGCAGTCCCAACGAGGAGACCTCCATCGGTGCCGAAATCTTGAAGCTGCCAAATCAGGCGCTCGAATCCGAAAAAATAGTCAAGGTGAGGAGCGGAGTGCCATAAATTCGTTTCAGCAACTGCAAACTGCAAACTGCAACTGGCAAATGCTAATTTTTTGCCTGTTCTCCCTCTGTGTGTGTGCAGCTCTTCGATATGAAGAAGTTTCAATCGAACGTAAATCGTGAACTGCGCCGTGCCTATCCAGATCGTCGACGCTTGGAGACGCAGTGCCTGTCGGCCGTGGCCTTTGTCAAATCGGAGAGCGATGTCTTGGAGTGCCCCATTTGGGTGCTCATTGTGAATGTGGTAGCCATGGATATGCTTAAGAGCAAGCTGCCACCAGGTGAGTGAAGAACACACAAACACAGTACACTTGAACCGCAATATTCGCCTCCCCTTGAATAGTGCAACGCCCCATTGTGGACATTAAGAATCGCCCGCGCATACCCATACCCGATGAGGATCCCTACAGCGTGGCAGGCAATGGCAGCGGCGGCAGTTCGGGCAGTTCCGGATTTGGCAGCGCACACCAACAGCAGGCGCATGCCCAGCAGCTGGGGAAACACATGAACAACGGCAATAACGGACATGTGGCAGCCACGCGGGAGCAGCTGCTGCTGCAGACGCAACAACTGGCCCACAAACGCAGCGAGAAGCCGCCCAAGCTGCCGCCCAGGGACAATGTCTATGCACACGATTTGATTCCAAAGGTAAGTGGGAGAGGAAAAGGGATCCCCAAATGATTGCCCAAGCACAGGTCGTTCGCCATCAAGTGTTGGGCACAAATTTGGCAGCACACAAATAAAGCAAACCGTGCAGAAGTGAGGCAACTTGGTTGGTTGGGCCACAATGAGGCCAGTTAGCCAGGCAGTCAGCCTGCCCATGCTTGGTTACATGCGCAACGCGGCCACTTGCAAAATGGGTCTCCGATTCCAGCGCGGCTCCAGTTCTGTCCACTGTCTGGTGTCTGGTGTCTGCTGCTGGTCGGCGGACAGGTGGTTGGACGTGGAAGATTTCGCCGTTGAGCTTCACTGGGCAATGGCCGTTTCGTTGCATTCAATAATATTCGGATTGCAGCAAATAACTGCAAACGAATCGCGTGTAATTAATATGCGCGGAATGCAGTCGATTGCCAATTGCGCCCAACGACCGCGTCAGTGCCAACAGCACAAGGGGCTCGGAATCGGGCTTGGAGTTGTGCGGAGTTTGCACAATTTGGAGCTGCTTTTCAGGTCGAAATATGTGCATAAATGATTGTCTAATAACCGCACTATGCACCATCATTCTTATTCCACTTTCCCTTTTCTTTTCACAGCCGGACTATGATGACATTGATTTGGAAACGCGCATAAAACTGTCGCGCGGCAAGTCGGACAAGGGCAAGGACAACAAGAAATACGGTAAGAGGCAGCAGGAGGCCCGCGAGGAGTAAGCTAAAGTCTGAGCAAACACTTTACCGTCTCCACAGATGATCCCTACTATTGTGGACTGCGGGCACGTGTGCCCAACTTTGGCAAGTCGGGCAAGAAGGGCTCGGGCCAAGGCCTCAAGGATCAGCGGGATGGCAATGGCAACAACATTAACATTATTAATAACAACAACTTAAGCAGCAATGGGGGCATGAGCACGCTCAGCCAGAAGAAGACCTCGATGATACACAATCACTTGGCGGGCATGCATCCACATCACATACAGCAGCAGCAGCAACTGATGGCCGCTGCGGCGGCAGCACATGCTGTGCACCATCACAATGCTGGCCAGCAGCAGAATCATCACCATCCGATCTGGCAGACGCGCAGCTATGAGAGCGGCATAGGTATTTATAAACACAAAACGCACGCACTGCAAATGCAAATGCAAATGCAAATGCAACAACTGCAACAACCGCAACCACAGTCACTGCCAACGGACCTAACAACAACAGCAACAGCAAAGACACAAAGCACACCCAACAAAGCACGTAGCCAGCACCAGCAGCAGCAGCACCAGCACCACCACTTGACACCGCAGACCAGCACTCCGCACTTGTATCCGCACGCACATCCGCATCATAAGTACCAGCACCAGCACCAGAACCACCACAATCACAAGCACAGTCACATGCATCAGTGCGAGCGGCATGCGCGTCAGCAGCCCACTCTTCCACCCTACTACGACAACCTGGAGGAGTCGCTGGGTCGCCAGGTGACTCGCCGTCTCTCCACCCGTCGCCCCTTGGCCGAGAGCGCTGCTGGGAGCGCCTGCAACTGCGTGAGCTGCTATGCACTGGCTCCACTCTGTGGTTCTGTGCCGCCGCCACGCCCCCAGCGAAGTCTCAGCCAGCAGCAGCTGCGCCGGCATCAGCGACTGAGCGGCAGTCTGGTGGAGAAGCAGGCCGGTGTGGTCAAGTGGTGCAGCGAGAGTGACATCTCGGTGCTGGAGCACGTGCAGGAGGAAGACCCGGCGGCGACACTGACGGCCAACACACTGCTGACCCAGGACGAGCGGTACGACGACTGCTACGAGTACGACGACTTCGACATGGACTTTGACATTGACGACGACCTTACAGCACGCATGGGCTACAGCCGGGGCACGGAGACGGTGGACATGTACGTGGATCGGGCACAACTGCGCCAGATCCAAGCGCCCGCCGTGCTGGCCAGCTCGCGCACCAAGTCCCAGTCCACCGAGAGCTTCTTCGAGCAGCCCAACGAGGAGGGCTCCCTGTATATGTACGGCGGACGCAAGCGCATTGTGGCCAAGGCGCCGTCGGCGGCCAACATCTATGATCGGGTGAGCGGCTCAATGGACCCCGACAGGGGCTATGCGAATGGCAGATTCAATTTGGCAGCCAGGACACAGCAGTACCAGAGCAGGAGCAGAGCTGTCGGCAGTCACAAGGCGCCCGTACTGCCATCGCCCAGTTGGCGGGGCGGCAAGCGACAGCAGCAGGAGGCGAAGCATTTTCAAAACTCTGACAAACGACGATATGACAATGCAACGAACAACAACAACAACAACAACAACAACAACATAAGCAGCAGCAGCAGCAACAAGAACAAAAGACAGTTAACGAACAGCAACAAAAACAATGACGACATCTTGAAAAGCAAAAATAATTTCAATAGTAAAACCAAAAGTATAGCAACATCAGCATCAGCCTCAGCAGCAGCCCAGTCCCAAGTAGCGAAAGCGACCACAACATCAGCATCTAGCGGTGGAGCAGTAGCAGCATCAGCAACTGCAGCAACAATGACCACTAATGCCAGTGGAGGAGCAGCAGCAGCAGCAGCAGCAGCATCAAAAAAAGCATCACCAATAATACATGACCCAACAACGGCAAACAATTCCCTGGCAGCAGCAGTGGCGGCGGGGCCGCCACCTCCCCCAGCTGCCAGAACTGGGCGCAGTGCCAGCCGCCTTGACATCAGCGACATGGAGTCCATTTATGGCTACCTGAAGCCACGCAAGCCGCGCAGCCTCAGCCTGAAGAAAATTCAAATACTCGACTATTGAACGAACAACCCCCCACCGCCATACGCATACGTTTTTTTTACTGAACAAAATGAGGTTATTTTTGGCATAGAGAACGTCGATGTTATTCTGTTATTGTTATTTGTGGGTTACCCCCTTTGGATCGGTTGCTGTGCATTGTACATATAAATACCCATAGATAATATGTTTGGTTTGGTTTGTATGTTGCCCAATCAAACAACCAAATATCCACCAAAAGCCTTGAGTACCCGGTGAACAGAACTAAACTGTACGAAATGTTTACTAACTCTTACAAAACCTGGACTCCTCCTAGACTCCTGGACAGACACAGATCTACTGCCGTTGTATATACAAACACACACACACAAACACACACAAACACACTCATTTATACTATGCTTAAATGATCAAGGAAATGCTTATTATATTTTGGGAAACGCTTTGTAATATTTGATCTCTGTGCTTCTTGTAGATTCGGAGCTTGTTGAATCACCATACAATCACATCTATGGCCGCCATTTACCGCTGCCCACGCGCGGCTATGTGCCCACACCACGCATGTTTATCGGGGAATGGGACTGATGCGAGGCGAGGTTTGGCGCCCGGCGAGAGGCCGACACGACACACATTTGCACATGAGCAGCCGCCGCCGGCTTGGAGTGCAGCAGCAGCACAAGGCACAAAAAAGAAAACATTAAGAATAGTTGTACAGCTAAGCAATCCGCTGGATGCCTGCCCGGCGGCGGCGGCGGCAGCGACAGCAGCTCTAATTTAAGTCAATCAGCAGCAAGGAGCATGAAATATTATATACATTACATTAATTTAGCAAAATATTAATGGTAATACTTATAATATTAGCCTAGCAGTAAGCCAATCAAAGCAAACCAACCGCAAACCATTCTGATGTTTCCAGACATTTCGCTGTTAGTGTATTTTCTGTAGATCTTTTGAGATTACGCACTTTACATATGACATTTGCAATGAGCAAAAACATAGATTGTTTTCTTTATACATAATACGAAATGAATAGCCATTACATAGCGATGATCCAGGAGAGAGAGATCTGTAGCAGCAGTCCCTAAGTTCAGTTAAGGTTTTTGTACATTTTTCGTTTGCCAGCAATCAGTTCAGAAATTATTATGAATTATTTGGATTTGGATTTGGATTTGCAGGCTGAATTGAATTTTATTGTATATCAAAATATTCGTTCTGTATTGTGTATGTGTTGTGTAACCATAATAAAATTATCTTCAAGAAAACTTAATTCAAATCCCATTCCATTCTGATTTGCATTCCAAATAAATGTTTCAAGTGTGTGTGTTCTATGGATTATAAACTATTGAATTTACATATAGTAATCGTTGTCCCAGTTGGGTGGGCGCATGTGATCTGGATTGGGTCCGCGGTTCGGTATGTTCGGTTCGGGTCCAAACGGATCAAAGCGCGGTAGGGGCATACCATTACCAGGCATTCCGGGACGAGAGGGGAACGAGAATAGATTACCAGGACCACCGCGACCGAGTGGGTCCAGGTCCCCGCGTCCGATGTCCGGGAAGCCAAAAGGGCGAGGCTCATATCCTCCGGGCATAAATGATCTACGCGACACAGACAGACATGAATTTTAATAGGAATGCGGGACATCCAGCTATTTGCTAGTGCCTTACCCTCCGCGTCTTGGCTCCCCAATGCGCAATGGATCCGCTCCATTGGATCGTTGTGGCTCTATGCTGGTCTGAGTGGTCACTTCGCGCGACTTGCCGGTAAAAACCGGGTCCAGCAACTCCTTGCGAAAGCGATCGACAATCTCCGAAGCTGTTGGCATCAATGTGCTAATGTTACCATTCACAGCGGCCACCAGGTTTTCGGGATCGATGCAAATGTTGGACACCTTCTTGGTGTTGATGTCCAATAAATTGAGGAGCAAGTCTTCTTCGGTGATATGCCCAATGAGCAAATAGAGCACCTTTTCGTGTGTATAGCGCAGCGAGTACTTGGTGTCATCGTCGTTCCAGTTGTCTGGCAGCAGCTCACTTCCCACATCCTCCTCTGATAGTATTTTCTATACGAATCAATAGGGATGAAATAAGCATCCATCAGACAGCCAGTCTGTCTACTCACATCCTCGCCAATTCCCACGCATCGAAAGTTGTAATGTTTGGTCAACAGAAAGTGGACCAAAGCTATCAGCACGTCGGACTTCTTGTTGACTTCGGCCCGGATCGTCTTAAACAATAGATCCCAGCCGTAGAAGAAGTCTCCCGCATTAGTGTCCATATTGTCACGGCTGGAAGTTCAAAAGACAAAGGGCAGCATAGCTGACACTGCACAAAAACAGACCTTAATTTTTGATTAGCCTAGAGTTGAATTTGGTCCACGTCTGAAATGACACAGCCAGATGTAGTTGTCAATAAGATAAATTGCCCCTTTTATATTTTAGTGACTCAATTTACAAATATTGCTTTGTGTTGAAAGTGTCGTAAAACTTTTTTAACCAAAACAAAATACCAGTGTGACCGCGGAATACCGACAAACCCTCGGAAATACATCGAAATATAACCTCAACATATACTGTAAATATACCGTAAATGTTAAATAATTTTCTTCGATTTTGCTGTTCTATTTAATATTATTAGCTAGTTAGGCGTCTCTGCGCTAAAACTATAATTGTATCATATGTATAAATCAATACTCCTGAAGATTGGCTAGTTTTAACGACTTCCTTTTGTTGGAATGTTTACAAAATCAATTTTCCACAAGATTGGTTAGTTTTTAGGATTTTTTATTTTATGGTTTGGAAAATAAGATTCCAGCAAAAAAAATTTGCATTTATGTAGTTACTGATCCAAACGGTGTATCTCCAAGAAGTTTCAAGGTGTATTAGCTAGAGAAGGTGACTCTTGCACAATATACATTTTACTATACAACGCGTTATGTATATTTGTAGCGAAATACTTGTACTTCGAATCGAATCATTTTAATAATGTCTTTTAAAAAAGGAATTTACAATTTAAATGTGCCTAGTTGAATGCACTTGGCATGCTTAAAATAAAGGTTGGCAAGCAATCGGATAATCCGAATAAATGTAGAAGAAGAAAGCAGCTACAGCACTGTTAATTGTTAACATGTTGTGACTGCTGCCGGTACGTGGACCGCGATCCACGATCCAACTCTTACATTCCACATTCCAGGTAAGCTGGAAACTCAAATTAATAAAGTTCTTTCCTCCAAAGTGCATTGAACATTGTGTTAATAAAACTGAAATAAAGGAGCTGAGGTATTATACAGTGAAGACATAGAAATAATTGCAGCAAGGACTAAAATATTTTCTTAAATAAAATACTTTGATCATTTCAAATATATACCAATAATTGTCATTGTTGACAATTGTTGTCATTAAATTGTTTTTAAATCATGCTTTGACCATAAGCTATCAACTGACCAAACTTTGTACGACTTTAATATGCAAATGAACTAATTATACACACCACGAACAAATCTGTGATTCCCCGCTATATTTTTATTTTAATGAGCAAAAACAAAAAGAGAAAACCTATGTGCATCGGAAATAATAAATTATTGCCAACAGCTTCAGGTCGTTCAGCCGGTTCTATTTATTGAACAGTTCAAATTTGTGAGATTTCTCTTTATACGTATTTTGTATGTACTTACATACATATGCATATGTAAATGTATATTTGGAATAAAAAGCGGGTTTTTTTTTAAATTTAGTCAAAAATGCTCTAGGTCCAGTGGGGTAGAGGCGGGAATCGTTCAATTTGCATGAAAAAAGGGGGTGGGCTCGTGATTTTATTGCTTTCACACTCGCGTATCTCGTATTTATTTAAAAAGGTGGAAAAGCTGGAAAAAAACAGAAAATAAACAAAGCAGAATGAATGTGCTTCATTGATGATGGCACAAACAGCTGTATAAACACATGTACATATAAATGTATCAAAAACGCAATCTGCTTTTTGAACGCTTGCACGTTAACACTTAAAAAATCAACACACACAAATGTATATACACATTTAATTACATACATACATAATACATACATACATATGTATTAGGCAGGTAACGGGACGTAATTGTATTGACATTTGATATTTACTGCAAAATTAAAAGTAAAATGCTACATTTGTGTCATGAAATCATGGGTTTCCCGTGAAGTCGTTGTGGAGAGGGAACGGAGAGGGGATATTCCATTATCATCAGCTGCTTATTAATCACTACGTTACTTTATTTCTTTTTTTGTAGAACGATATGTTGAAATCCACGGAACCAATACTTATAAGGGAACCATCAGCTGGAGTGCGCCGCCAGAAATCGCGGGCTTCCAAAATGATTGGCGACTACATAGGTGAGTAACTTTAAACTATTTAATGCAACCAGCAAACAATTTGAATCATTTAAGACACCGCCGTACGCATTGCCGGTGTGGGTTTTCTGGCGGATCTCATTCAGCGACTGGTTCTCAGTGTAGTTGAGCATCTGCAGGACTATCGATACTATTTGCCCGAGGATGGCCTGTCGACAATACTACAACGATCGTTTACCTACAATAAAAGGAGCGTCTTCATAATTCTGGCCTTCGTTGTTCTGGCACTCATTCGATTGTCTGCAACAGGTAACGGCAGGGCGCTAGTTCCAACGGCTGCGTACCTGGCCTATATGCCGCTGTACTGGCTATTCCAGTGCCTTGGCGGGAGTAAACTGCGTTATTCCCACTGGATAAGGGAACCACATGGCCTCGACTATGCCTCTGGAATGGCTGCCAATTACTTTCACGGCTTCTTGAACCTTTCATTGCCCGAACGCCAGGGTGACGGCCTTAGGCGCCGCATGGCAGTATATGAAGTAATGCATTCTGTCTTTTCTAAGTTAATTTGAATCCTTTATAGAGACGTATTCCCTTGCAGGCAACACACAACATCACTTTCGGACTGGACCGACTGATCATTCTCATTCCAGACGAAATGTTTGTAAAGGGCAAACTCGAAAGCGACTTACTGGAAAAGGCCGAAGTAATATGAACAGAAAAATGACAAATTTTCCAACCCATTTCCACTCTATCTTGCATTTCCTTTAGCCATTGCAAACTGTGAACATCCAACGGGCCGGTGTCAATCGTCCTTTTAAGCATGATGTGTACAGACTTAAGCGCATGATCGATGGGAAATTCTATTACTTTGTCATCGAGGGAGCCACACCAATGTTGTCCTTCTTCGAATCGCTGCAGTCGCAAATCTCGGCCACCTGGCAAATGCGCGAAATGAAGCGCGAGATCTGGCTCAAGTTCTACAAGCATCTAAAATATCTATTGTACACTTGGCCCGAGACACGCAACCTAGTGGAGCCAATCATCTACAATTGTGCGTCGAAGTTCGCAACTAAATCAAACATTTAACTTAAACAGTGCCCACTTCATTTCAGCTCACGATGCCAATGGCAATTTGGTCGATGTTGGCGAGTTGCTCATCACCCGCATGGAGAACAAAAAAAAGAAGAATGCCTAATCCAGCTATCCTGTGGTATCATCTGCCAACAACGAGTTCGATTAACATTTTGAAGAAACGAACGGAAATATTTTTACCGACTGAGCAATGTATTGAAGCTCTTAATGACAATTTCATTTTCAATATCAATTTTACCACTTAAAACTAAGCTGAAAGTTATCCGGTTAACACGTACAACTGGCTATACCTCAATTGGCTGTGATGCCTCTTGCTCCCGCAGCTTTGCCTGAGCCATTGCCAGCATTCTCGATTTCCATTTCTCATAATCTTCGACCTCAGGCTTCAGGGACTTCTTCGACTCACTCGGGAGATTCTCCTGCTGGCTGGCCTTAAGCTTTCCATCCAGACCAGGTGGCGAGACTACTTTGGACTCCTTGTAATGCTTGGCTATCATGCGCTCCCACTGCTGTTCGAGCTGTTGCCATTGTGTCGGGCGCAGGTTGCTGAAGGGCATCAGTTTCGGCTTTGACACCTTCTTTTTAAGCAGGCGGCACGCGTGGAAAACGGCCATTGCGGCGTATTGCGGGTGGTCAGTGTCAATGTCGGTGTTTTCCGTGGAAACCAAGCCCCTGAAGAGATTCATCAACTCCTCGGCTTTGCGAGACGCCTCGTTGAGGCTTAGCTGCACACAAATGTCATTCACAGTGACCAATTTATTCAGATCCAGCAGCTTCTCAAACATGCGCTTGTTGTTGAGGTAATGGCTCTTTCGCAGGCCGGACAGCTTCAACGCCTGCTCTTTGTCGAACCCAATGCCTAACAGGCAGGAAGCCAGATCAACGCACAGTACGATTTTCCCATATTCGTTTATTTGCAGTGGCACATTGGTCGAGCGCAGCTCCAGCAGGCGCACCAATTCTGTGGTTTTCCTGCAAAGGACTTCTTCAATATTCACTCGCATTTAATGGTAAATTTAACTCACTCCATTACGTTCGGCTCTTCCCGCAAGCCCATCTTTGCAATCAGCTGTTCAATTAGAGTAGTCATTACAATTAAATAAGCGTTTTAAATTTGTTTGTTTATGTTTTCAATTTTGTCGATTAGAGATGTGTTAATTTTTCGCGCCAGAAACCAAACGATACTTAACGTCATCGCTTTGCGACGTAACGTAACAGCGCTAATCGATACAAAAGGCACAACTCTCAGAAAGTTGCAAGGTGAGTTACATAGAAAAGGAGGAATTTCAATTTTCCATTACACCAAGTTTTATCCCAAATATGATCATTTATTACGCGAAAGAGAATAGAAAATTAATGTTACATTTTTGGGCCTAGAATTAGATTCACTGCCATAAAAAAATTAATGCGCCTCATCCCCACTGTCATCTTCCTGATTGGCATTTACGCCGGCTTTTATGGCCACCTCGGTTAATGCCTTGGGATTGATTAGAAAACCGCCCTGGGTATCACGTCCAACTATACCCATTTCGAAACGGAAGTCCTTGTCCTTGTCTTCACCATGAACGCGGTAAATTCTGAAAGGCCAAGAGCAGTCATTATGTAAGGTGTGCGTTGAATGAAACTAAAAAGTGCTTACATTTCACCAGCCCTTTTGACTAGATCTTCTGTGTTCCAATCGACAAATCGCGACTTTTCCATCTCGGTCTTGGCCGCCTGCTTAGCTTTTCCACTGGCGCAGGCAAAGTACCCAAAGTACGAGCCGGATGGCTCAATTTTGTAGAGCTGTGGCCCATCATTTTCATCCCACGAGGCCAGGATAATGGAGAGTCCAAAGGGACGGACTGCGCTGTACAAGGTGTAGGCATGGACATAGGCGGACACGCGGTCGCATAGGTGCTTCAAAGGAATCACTTGCTCGAACTGCTGACGGTAGTTGGCTGCCTCCTGGCGGGCAATGTCAGCCACATAGTTTCCGTCGGCCACCAGGCCAGCCACGGCCATGCCAATGTTCTTCTCAACGATGAATATGCGCCCAGCGGCATCGGGCTCATATAATTTGCTCGTTATTATTTTCTCAACGGCCAGAATGACGCAGTCCTTGCCACGGATCCCAATAACGGTGCCACTCTTCTCCACTGCCTTGGAGGCATAGTCGATTTGGAAAACACGGCCATCCGGCGAGAACTGCGATGCCGACAAGTCATACTGCAATAAAAGTTCATAAAAATAGAATCTGCCCGCGAGAAATTGTGTTTCTTCTACTTACACCAGTTCCAATTGTACTCATTGCGGTGCTTTAAATTTTATTTTTTATATGCAAAAAATTAGTTTGGACGATGATTTGACGGCTTTTGCTTTGCTAGGTGTAAGTGTGACCGCGGATATATAAAATATAAATCAACTATACCGCCTGACCGGCAAATATACCGAAACATGCCTTCTCACTTTCAAGATATACCGTAAATAGTCTTATTCTTTCTGATCCAGATTTTCAGGGGCCGGGAGGTATATTCCAAGGTGTATAGCTAGAGAAGGTGACTTTTGCCACTAACCAAATAGTATAGTGGTCACACTGCTTATTGCGCACGCGGTTTTATTTATAAACAACTAAAAACCATGCTTGCGAATATTTGTGAAAAAAGGTAAGTGCAGACTGCAATAAATCTGTGAAAAAGTAATAACAAATCCATGCTTTAGCTACGCGGCGGAGGCCCAGTACACAAACTTCTATGGCGGCGGCGACATTGCGTGGAGCTCGGATGGCCAGCACTTTTATTGCCTGAGCGGTGCCGCTGTCAACCAAGTCGACGTCCAGACCTCGCAAATCTTGCAGAGCTTTGGAGTAAGCTCCGCGACAGTGGAGAAGAAGAAGCCGACCAACTTGGACGACATCGATGTGGAGGAGGATGCGATAACCTGCTTTGCGCTGTCGCACGAGCATTTGGTAACTGCCCATCGCAGTGGACTGTTGCGTCTGTGGCTACTGAGCACCTGCAAGCTGGTGAAGCTGTGGAAGGCGCAACACAAGGGTCCAGTCATCAAAATCGAGTTTAGTCCATGCGGAAGGCTTGTGTGCACCAGCGGTGGAGCAGATGCTACTCTAAGACTGTGGGATTTCGCCAACAACAGCTGCCTGTGCGCCCTGAAGGACTTTCCTGGTCCATGCTGGCTCCTGCGCTTCCATCCAAATGTCTTGCGAAAGGAGATCTATGCTGTGGGCTCGGATAACACCATTTACTGCTGGAACTATCAGTCCAAGGCGCTGCTGCACAAAATGCGAGGCCATCTCTCGCAGGTGACCGGCCTTAGCTTTAAGAGCAACGATGCTGAATGCAATAAGTTGGCTACTGTGAGTCGCGATAAAGTGTTGATCGTCTGGGAGCTGGAAGATCAGGTGGAAGGAAAACAGTTGAAGGTGCTGCCGTTGTTCGATGAGCTGGAAGGTGTCGTCTACGCAAACGAGGGCCGGGAGATAGTTGTGGCCAGCCGAACAGGAAATCTGCTGCAGGTTGATGCCGAATCCTGGAAGATAAAGAACCTATTGTCACAGTCGGACTTCCAAATCAATCGACTGCTACATTGCAACGACCTCAAGCAATTGGCTCTGGTAACCACCGAACAGAATATAATCATCTATGATGCCTCCAGCATAGAACCCGTTAAGCACTTGGTCGGCTACAACGATGAGATCTTGGACATGTGCTTCTTGGGAGACAACGACCGCTACTTGGCTGTGGCCACCAACAGCAAACACTTTAAGCTGTACGATACGGAGAACGATATGAACTGCAAGCTGATTGTCGGCCATTCGGACACGGTCATGGCTCTGGCAGGCTCGCACAATCTGCTCATATCGGTGGGCAAGGATTGCAGCATTCGATTGTGGAAGCTGGAGCATGAAAAGCCCTGCTCCTTGGAAGCTCTAACGCAGCAGACCAACTGTCATACCTCCACGATCGGCTGTGTGGCCATGACGCACAATGGAGCGGCGGGTTTTGCCTCTGTGTGCCAGGACGGCAGCATGAAGGTGTGGAACTTGAGCAGGGACAAACAGGAGCGCAACTCGTACACCTTTAATCTGCGATATTCAGCTCTCGCCCATGACAAGGAGGTCAATTGTGTTGCCTATGCCGTGAACAACAAAATCTTGGCCACCGCTTCGCAGGACAAGACGGCCAAGCTGTGGATGGCAGACTCCAATTCGTTGCTGGGAGTGCTACGTGGCCACACCCGCGGCGTGTGGAGTGTGCGTTTCTCTCCCGTCGATCAGGTTGTGCTCACATCCTCCTCGGACTGCACGCTGCGTCTTTGGTCGATCAGCAACTTTACGTGCATTAAACGCTTCGATCAGGAGTGCACAATCCTGAGAGCAGAATTCCTGGACCACGGCAAGTTTATCGTCTCTGCAGCCTCCGATGGCCTGCTTAAGCTTTGGAACATCAAGACCAACACATGTCTGCAGTCCCTCGATGAGCACACGGATCGTGTCTGGGCTTTGGCAGTCTCAGGCAGAAGTAATCGCTTCTTCTACACGGGTGGCGCGGACTCCAAGCTGATACGCTTTGGCGACGTAACGCAGGCAACGCGCAACGAGGCACTCGATCAGCGTCAGGAGACTCTGGAGCAGGAGCAGACCTTACACTCGCTCCTCCATGCACAGAAGCAGCTGCACAAGGCCTTTGTGCTAGCCCTGAACCTGAACAAGCCAAAAACCACCTTCGACATAATTGTTCACTTTGTGCGAGAGCGCGATGAAGCCGGTCTGCGTCAGCTGGTGGATCAACTGAATGTGGATCAGCGCGTGGCGCTGCTGCAGCACGTTAAGGCATGGACCACAAACTCGCGCAACTCGCACGCTGCCAATGTCATCCTAAAGCATCTAATTGGAGATGCTCTGCTGGACCCCAAGGCACGTTTCTACAACAACGGCAACATGGTGGAGGTGCTCACACCCTACGTTCAGAGGCATTTCAAAAGGATCACCGAAATGAACAAGGAGCTGGCCTTTCTGGAATTCATTGTCAAGTGCATGTAGATCACGGGCTAGAGGCAGATTATATTCTAAAATGAAAATAATTGTATAAAACAAACAGAGTCCCAAACTATTTTTCCTGCTCTGCAAATCGTTTGCTACATTCTAGAGAAATTTCGTATGATGCACATAAGTTAGTTCGGTAATTAATTATAAGCAAAACTATATTTGTTTAACATTTATTTCAATATAGTTATTAACATTTATAACCACTTACGTATGTATTGGAGGAGAGGAATTTTGACATTTCAATCTATAAAAATTGTACAAATTTCATTTAAACGAAACTAAAAGTGTGTGTGACGAGACGAGACACCTGGAGCGCCTTGGAGGGCTCCCTAACTATAGTTCCTCAGATACAGATACACTGAACACACATATAAAAAATAGATACACAGTCAGGTCAGGGCATTAGGTGGTTTGGTGGCAACTGACGAGGAGAATCCCTAAGATTATCACTGTTCGACTTAATGTTACAGTAGGTGTGCGCTGGCAGCACGGACAATGGACAATGGACATGAGCCCTTTGTATCGGGCGCGATGAGAGGTGTAGATTACTCGACGATCATCAGCAGATCATCGCCCTCGAGCTTCATGCCGTTTGCAATCTCCAGCTTCTTGACAACGCCCGCCTGTGGTGCCTGGACAACCATCTCCATCTTCATGGCGGAGAGCACAACCAGGGGCTGACCCTTCTCAACCTTATCGCCGACGGCGACGCGAATGTCAATGACAGTGCCGGGCATGGGGGCTCCCACCTCGCTCTTGACCGCCTTATTAGCCTTGGGATGAACGTGGATTTCCTGCACACAATTAAGAGTTCACGTTAGAAAGGTCTCAGCATCAATTGGAGGTTGTCTCCCCACTCACCTTGACCGCCTCCTTGTCGAGAATGTGAACTGTGCGCAGCTGTCCGTTCATCTCGAAGAAGACCTCGCGATCTCCGTTCGGCTTGAGATCGGCGGCCATGGCCATGGCCTTCAGACTCAGCGTCTTGCCGCGCTCCAGCGTCACCTCGAACTCCTCACCCACCTTGGGTCCGGTGAGGAAGATGCGCGTGTCCAGTTTGTCGACGGGGCCGAACTTCTCGCGGAAGAACAGATACTCGTTGGTCACCTGGGGATAGAGAGCCGCCGACATGACGTCGCGGTCACTGATATTAGCGTGAGATTCCTTCAGGTCCTGCTTCAGCTTGTCAAAGTCCAGTGGCTCCAGCTCGGCGCCCGGACGTCCCTCGATGCGTGGCATGTCCTTGAGTACGCGGGAGCGCAGTGGCTCGGGGAATCCGCCATGGGGAATGCCAATGAGACCCTGCAGGTACTCCACCACGGACTTGGGGAACGACAGCTCCTCAGCGCGCTCCAGCACCTGATCGGCAGTGAGGTGGTTCTGAACCATAAACTGGGCCAAGTCACCCACCACCTTGGAGGAGGGCGTGACCTTGATAATGTCGCCCAACAGCAAATTGGCCTCGCGATACGCCTTCTTCACATCCTCAAAGAAGTCGCCCAGACCCAGAGAGAAGGCCTGGAACTGCAGGTTGGTGTACTGACCGCCGGGGATCTCGTTCAGGTACACATCGGCATTGCCCGACCGCATGGTCGTGGTGCACTCGAAGGGCGCGTACAGGGTGCGCGTCTGCTCCCAGTAGGCCGAGTACTCCGACACATCGCGCAGATCCACGCCAGTGTCCAGAGTTGTGCCCTGCAGCGAGGCCACCACGGCGCCCATGCTCGGCTGTGAGGTCATGCCACTCATCGAGTCGACGGCCACATCGACCACATCGGCGCCAGCCTGTGCACAGGCCAGCATGGAGGCCACTCCAGCTCCGGAGGTGTCGTGGGTGTGGATGTGGATTGGTATGTCAGGATGCTTGTCACGAATGGCAGTGATGAGCAATCTTGCTGCCTCGGGCTTCAGCAGACCCGCCATATCCTTGATGCAGAGCACATGGGTGCCAGCCTTGACGAGCTCATCGGCCAGATTTGTGTAGTACTTGAGATCGTACTTGGTGCGCTTGGGATCGCTGACATCGCCGGTGTAGGAAATGGCCGCCTCGACCACGCCGCCTGCCTTGCCAGCAGCCTCCATGCCGAGTATCAAGTTGGGCAGATAGTTGAGGGAATCGAACACTCTGAAGATGTCCATGCCGGTTTGAACCTGCGCGACAAACACAAAGGAATTAGAAACATTTTTGGGATAGCCTAACCAGAGGATTCACCGAGCCTTACCGCCAGTTCGCAGAACTTGTGGACCACGTTGTCCGGATAGCTGGTGTAGCCGACGGCATTGGCTCCGCGCAACAGCATCTGGAATGGAATGTTCGGGATGCGCTTGCGCATCTCCTCCAAACGCTCCCAGGGGCACTCGTGCAGGAAGCGCAGGGCCACATCGAAGGTGGCGCCGCCCCAGTTCTCCAGCGCATAGAGATTGTGGAACTTGTGGGCCACATAGGGCGAGATCTTCAGCAGATCGTGGGAGCGCACACGCGTGGCCAGCAGCGACTGGTGAGCATCGCGGAAGGTGGTGTCCATCAGCATCAGGTTCTTGCGGGAGCGAACCTCCTTCGCAAAGGCCTCCGGGCCCTGGCGCACCAAAATATCACGAAGACCGCAAGGTGGTTCCGTAACTGTTGGAGATGGTCAATAAATTAGTAAAGGTCCCCATTGCAGTTATAACTTGAGGTTAACAATAAAACAAAGCGGCTCAAAATATGCAGCAAATTAGTGCTCTATTTTAAGTGTGCTGCGAATGGTAAAACAATTAAAGCTAAAGCCAAAGCCACTAAAACTATAAAGCCCAAACATTGAATGAAATAAAATATGATGGACCCACTGCCATATTATATGTCTGTGTACTCTGTGTGAGGAGTTTGCTTTGTTTGGGATGTTGGGGATAGCTTAGCATAGAACATACCTTTGGCCTCGCCACGCTCTTCACGTTCTAATGCCTCCGCCGACAGATCTTCGGTGGATTGGTGTATGAGCAGGAGAGTATCATGAGAACGTGTTTGTGTGGGCATATCGTGTGTTTATTGTTCAGTGATATTTTGTGTGTTGTCCAATTGTTTGGATTGCGATTACAAATTGCATTTCGGTAGATTGGCAGATTAATAACAGATGTAACACAACAGAAATTTGCGGGTGCATTTTGTTTGAAAGAGTAAAAACATAAAGTTTTGATTAAAGCGTAAAGTAGAAGCAGCGAATAAAAACATTTCACAAGTAAAATACATAAAAGTATAAAGATCCATGCATGCCTCTTCATTGATTCAATTTGCGGCAAGTATTTGTTCTTTTTTTTGCTTTCATTGAAAGTGAAGATCAATCGAGTGACTTTTACATGAAGCATTTCCCCCTGTGGATCCCCTGTGGTAGCCACAAAAGCAAGCTTTTACCGGAAACAAAAGCACATGCAAATAGACCCAAGAGATTCAGAGAAGAACTTACCCAGGGGAACGGCTGGTACATGAGGACTGACCTCGGCGGGCTTCAGGGTGGTGGCGAGTGGTGTCTGTGGGCCGTTGACCAGCACTTCACCCAAGTAGTTGAGCAATTTCTGTGCACGATTCTGGGTGGGACGGAACTTGAAGAGCTGCGGATGCTCGTCAATGAAGTAGGTGTCCAGGACGCCGTGCAGGAACTTCTGGTTCTCCAGCACGTTCAGCAGGAAGGGTATGTTGGTCTTGACACCGCGAATGCGGAACTCGCGCAGCGCACGGTTCATTTTGGCAGCGGAACTCTGCAGATCGCCGGCATGCGAGATCACCTTGACCAGCAGGGAGTCGTAGTACGGCGAGATGATGGCGCCGGCGTAGGCCGACGCGCTGTCCAGGCGAATGCCCATGCCCTCGCCCGATCGGAACACCTCCAGGCGTCCGGTGTTGGGCTGGAAATCGTTGGCGGGATCCTCGGTTGTGACACGGCACTGGATGGCATAGCCGCGGGGCTTGATGTTCTCCTGGGTGTAGCCCAGCTCTGGCAGGGTCATGCCCTCGGCAATGCGGATCTGCGACTGCACCAGATCGATGCCGGTGATCTCCTCCGTGACCGTGTGCTCCACCTGAAGGCGGGCATTCACCTCGATGAAGTAGAAGTTGCCAGACTCGTCGCACAGGAACTCCACGGTGCCGGCGTTCTCGTAGCCCACGTGCTTGGCCAGACGCACGGCCGCGTCTGTCATCTTGTCGCGCAACTCCAGGGGCAAGCGGGGAGCCGGAGCGATTTCCACCACCTTCTGGTGGCGACGCTGCACCGAGCAGTCGCGCTCGTACAGGTGCACCACATTGCCGGCCTTGTCGCCCAGCAGCTGAACCTCGATGTGACGCGGACGCTCGATGAACTTTTCTATGAACATGGCGCCGTTTCCGAAGGCAGCCTTTGCCTCGGAGCTGGCACGCTGGAAATTCTCCTCGACCTCCTCCATCTTGCGCACCACACGCATGCCACGTCCGCCGCCACCGTAGGCCGCCTTGAAGATGACTGGCAGTCCGTGCTTCTTGCAGAACTCGAGGGCCTCGTCCTTGGTGGTGACGGGACCGTCTGTGCCGGGCACAATGGGCACACCAGCTTCGATGGCCGCCACACGGGCTGCCACCTTGTCGCCCATGTTCTGGACAACCTTGGGCGTGGGGCCGATGAACCGAAGGCCAGCATCGATCACGGCCTGGGCAAAGTCACTGCGCTCGGAGAGGAAGCCATAGCCGGGATGCACGGCATCCACGTCGTTCTCCTTGCACACACGAATGATCTCTGGAATGTTGAGGTAGGCCTCCACCGGTGGCAGGCCCTTGCCGACCAGATACGACTCGTCCGCCTTCTGGCGATGCATGTGCATCTTGTCCTGCTCCGAGTACACAGCCACCGACTTGATGCCCAGCTCTGTGCAGGCGCGGAAGACACGAATGGCGATCTCCCCGCGATTGGCCACCAGCACCGATCGAATGGGCTTGTACTCCACCTGGCGGGGGGACACACAATGAATATATTTTGATGATTCATTCGGGGTCGGGGTCCTTCACTCACCTGACTCGAGTAGGCATTCTTGCTGACAAAGTAAAGGCGCACGCGCGGCTGCGCACTGCGCAGCGCTTTGAAGGCGGACTGGGCTCGCGGTATGAACATGATGATCCGAGTGTAGCTGCAGGGGCGAGAGGGAAGCAGAGCAATGTATTACAGGTATCTGTGTGTATATATTATAGTATACAATCAAGAGATTGCATTCGACGCTTCAATTATCTGCTAATAAGCTGATTTCGTGTGCTCGATTTCCAAATGCCTTAAGGTTATCGACTTTGCTTTCGAATGCGCGAACAAACGGAACAACACAGGGGGACAGGGGGACAGGGGAAGGAGGGTCTCTCGCCAAAAATGATTGCAATTCAAAGTCTATTCAAAACTGAGTTGCCTTTTCATTCCTTTGGATCTATGTACGACTGTACGAGTGTGTTTGCTCAAGCTCCCGCTCCCGCTCCAGCTCCAGCTGAAGCTCCAGCCTAATCTTCGGCTCAAAGTCCGTTGATTGTGTTTGTGTGATTTCCAAGTATTATTCCATATAAATACCAAGCTGTCGGCGAATAAAGTGGACTGACTCACGTGATCAAAATCCAAAGCGAGTTCTAACAATTGAAATGACAATTTTGCATATGTTAACCCGATTGGTATGGGTAGAATCGGTTCAACAATACCCGAAGTACATACGAATGTTGCTTAAATTTCCCTAATTGATGCATTGGAACTGACTATTTAATATCTATAGTGGACAGCTTGTGGGTAATAGATGAGTAAATATTTAATATAACACACGATACCCAAAGGCAATGTTTGTTGCAATCAAATGAAATTACGAAAAGGCATCTACTGCTTTTTATAACAACAAGATACACAATAAGGTAAGCTACTGTCGATATATTTACACTTGAAACTCACATATTAATCAATTTCAGTTGTTGTTCAACATTTGTTTGATATATTTACACTTATGGCGCATACAAATTAGCATCCATAATAAAAATAAACCGAAAATGCCACTCGAAAGAGCAAAAGTTTCGTCTACAGAGCATTCACAGTGCGTTGGCTCTGCTTCGTTCGCTTCTCTCCGCACATGCCATAACAATTTTATTTTTACTTTTGTTACTTTTGGCTTTCCATTAACTTTGAGTTAAAAGCTTGTTTTGCTCATTATCAACGATTCATATGGGTTTTGTAGACGGACTGGACGGGGACGCTTGGGCAGAGGGGTGCGTCAGTGACCGGCTTTGCCACGGCTGTGTCTGGCCCAGACTTTTGCATTTCAAATTCTGGTCCCGAACAAGTTCAAATAGCCGACCCTGTCTGTACTCTGTCTGGCTCTCTCTCTCTCTCTCTCTCTGTGTTTCTCTCTCTTGTGCTCTGATTCTGCAAGTGGATCGTGGGGGCTCGTCTGCGGCAGCAAGACAGAAAGTGGGGCCTCGCATGGGTCGCCAAAATATATGTAAATATTTATGTGCCTCGAAGTGCATTTGGAGCTGGAACAACAGATGGTCAGGTGATACTAGCGTAATGGGATTAAACATTGAAGTTTGACTCTGCTTTGGGTTCATCGCTTCTCCATTCTGATACCCTACCACTCTATATTGGGCAAACAAACAAAATAAATAATAAATTATTTTCATCTGAGGAGCGGACTGTGCCCGCACGTGAAGTGCATGCCTGCTCGAGAGGCTCGTTATGTGGGGGGAATGGAATGGCGAGTGGGAGCTTCAGAGGTTCATAGATTATCTAGAACCACTGTTGACACATGTACTGACTGTTTGTATACACATGGGGTGACACAGGTGCAGATAATGAGAGGTAGATAAGACTTCTTTATTAACACATCGGAGGAGGTCTGGCCATCCATTTTATCATTCGCTGTGGGAGTGCACTCCTGGGGGCCCCTCCACTGCTGCCACCCTATAAATAGTCATGATGAACGTGATCCAATGTTGATCGACAGCTCTAATTAAATTGCCTCTGTTAACATCAATTTAATTTGCTAATTCCATTCATTTGTACAGAGTTAATTCACGATTATGCTATTAACAATATAATTAACAGTCAAAAGAGATGCCAAACCCAAACAGTTCTGGTCAGTCTGTCAGCGTCTAACACTACGAATACCATTCGGAAAACTAAATTCCCATACGGCCCAGATAAGCCTCAATGTCACCTTGTGCTCCGTGGAACGGAACAGCCAATCGACTGCCGTTTTTATGAATGCTATAAATTTAGAATGAACATAATATGTTCAGGCTGCAAGCGTTTTGAAAATTCGAAATGTTTTCTTATCAATGCAATGGTTTTTGTTATATAACTTTAACGTTTTCTACGATTGCGTGTTGGCCGTGATATATTGGAGGGATATTTAGCGAGAGATTCCAACATATGGAAGAGATTTAAACCATTAATCCCTTATCGAATTATTGGGGCAGTAATTTTATGGAACTCAATCAATTCAATCGTTCGATATCTATTTATTTGGGCCAATAAAGCCAACAGGTAAGTCGTGCGTCTTATCTCTGAGGATTCTTTTTATCGTTGAGGCAAAGATGAAATCATAATCGGAAGGTCTTTCGCTTGGACATTCAGAGGAAGTGCGATAAGGAGCTTCGCTTGAACTCGATATTCCTTTTAATGCTCGAGTTTTAAACGATTTTATCAACTGAAATAAATGCCTGGCCAACAAATGATTTAACATGCCGTGGAAAAATGCAAATCAGGGTACAGTGAAAGCTCCCTTTGGCAAACCACTTTCACTGTAATTGGTTAATCGTTTTCCCAGTTTCTGTCAATTTTGTGTTTAACTTTTGACAATGTTTACAGGCCATGTTCAATTATCCTGTTGCTTCTGTTTGTTGTATGCCCATCACCATCGACCGAGTGACTGACTGACTGACTGACTGACTGGGTGTGCCCTTGCAATCCTCGAGGGCTGCGACATTCCCTTGGCGAGCCCAATCTCAAGCAATTATACGAAAACTCTGTTGACATGGCTTTGGTATGCCCAAACCCACACCCAACGCACCGAATGTGTTTACTCGCCTGCCCACGAAACGGTCATCACACGATTATGTAATAATATAATGATAATACAACAAACTACAAACTGTATGTGTGTGAATTGTATAATAATATTAATAATAATAATAATGGAATAATAGAATGGGCCACCGCCACTCAAACGATATGCTTTTGTTCCCCCACTTTTACTCATAAAAATTGCGTGCTAATTTTTGTTTTTTCTTTTTTTTGTTGCCGCTTAAACATACGATCTTGAACGACAGTCCGCTAAGGTCAAAGTCGTGTTGAATGTGTGCCGGCCGGGCATTGATTTTCCGCAAAATATGACCAGGCCATGACAATAATTGCGCATAAATGGATGAGCCAGAATAGCTTATACTTCCGAGAGGGTGTATTTCCTTCCATCCATTTATTACTTTTAGTATCAATAACATTCTGAACTCTCAGTTGCTGGAGTGTAACACTCGAAAGATTTTATATTCAGCTAACCGTCTAGACCTTATCAAGTTTTCTAGCTGATAGACGCTTTGACATTGAGTGGTCCCGGGTCCAGTTATGCCCTGTCAAGAGATGCGAATGAAATCCAATTAGATTCGAACAGCTTCCACTAGTTAATTTTTTGATATTCACTACGTGTACAGTGTACAGTGAAAGCTCTAAAGGCGGAACATCTCCTTTGGGGGATATCTATGGATCTATAGATCTACCACTGTTTCAGTATATCCCCATTCTTAATTGCTTTCACATTGCACATTTGAATTAATTTCGCATAGCGGCATGTCCATGTCTATAAATTCATTGTATGTATGCCTATGTCTGTCTGTTTGTCAAACACGTTTTCGACTCAATAGCGAAACCATAAGAAGGTCATAAATATTGGGCAGAAAGTAAAAAGAGGACAAAAATAAAACACAGCCAGCGACTCTGCGTGTGCACCGCTCTCTCTCTCTCTCTCTCTCTCTCTCTCTCTATCACTCTCTCTATCGCTGTTTCTGTGTGCGTGTGTGTGTATGGAAAAGAATAAAATGTAATTAACACATGTCTGCCAGAGACAAGAAATGGGAAGCAGAGGGCGCACATGTAAATTACAGCAGATGGGCTGGGTTGGTGAGAGCCGGAAGGGCAAAGGGACAAGGCGTGAACAAAAAATTGGGAAAAAATTATGCAATTGATTGAGATCGATTACAATTAAAAAGCAAAATCTAAATCGACAAGCACATCCTTGCACTCTGGTACACTACTTAGTGGCTAGGCAGTTGCCCGTCTGTCTGGGCAGTGAGATTGGGGCCAGTGACCTTTGACTTACATTTCCAAAAAAAAATCACAAAAAGCGGCCTGCGCTTATCCTTGTTGTCCTTGGGACTCCAAAGGGGAATGCGAGTGTCAAAAAATCACCGCTTCAGCACTTTACACAATTTAGATCCGTTTGACAGCAGTTTGATTGAAGATCTGGGGACACAAATGCACACGGTTCCTATGTGTCTGTTTCTGTACACGCTCCCTCTTAATTTTTTTTGGTAGGCAGAAAGAACACCGCTAAGTCGAATTTCACTGCACTCTGAAACGGCGTGCTTTTGGATTTCTTTCCCAGGAATTCGGCGAACCGTTCACGTCAAAGTTGCACGACCAACTCAATGGGGCCGGTTGAGCTTCTCGCGAAAACTTGAAAGTCTCGCAGCTTCGAAATGGGGGCAGGGTACAAGTGCGAGGGGTGCAGTCATTCCGCTCTTCGAGGTACCTAAGCAGACGACATAAGCTTGCACGGAGAGAGTCGTCTCTACCTTAACTCTTACCTACCTTTGTGCTTATCTTCTCTGCCTCTCTCAATCACGGCGCCTCGCGTGAGTTAGTTCCTCTCTCTTTGCCTCTGCGTTTGTGCGCCTAACCGGTAATGAAATTTGTTCCTCACATTGACACAACAACAAATGGCTGAACTTTGTCCTAGCGGCACAATTTTGGGGTTGGTTATGTTGTTGTCACCGGATGTGTCGCTGCCGGGAGCGCAACAGCTGTTCTCACCGGCCCCCAAAGCTAGGCTGCTACCAAAGGAGGCCGATGAGTGGATTTGCATGGAAGAGAGAGGCTCACAGAGCAGACATTCCAGTATTCACTTCAGTCTGCAGTTCATCAGTCGTAATGCTGAGTGGATTATTCCATTCGCATTGCTTCACTAACACAAATGCGTACAAACATAAGTATGTGTGCATGTGTTTAAGTAGGTAGACAATTATATTCACGGCATTTCTAGAAGCTGATGCAAAAGCTCTGTTAACAGACATGTTCCTATTCCAGAAAATAAATGCTTATCCCCTAATTATAAACAGTTATAATTATCAACCAAATTTGCCAGGTTGGGCTCCTGGATCTTAAGCCAAATGAATCCTCTCTAGAACTATTTCTAACGGTGTCGCAATCAAAACAGAACCATTGAGCATCACATTATTAATGACGTCTCCCACTCATACATATCAGTTCGATGTTAATGGAAACTTTTAGTAGAGTAGCCAAGACGATAGAGCTGTTGTTGTTGGAGGCGACTAGAAATGCTTTGGCTATTTGAACTCGGCGCGTGTGTAGTCCGGTGATATTCCCGAAGCTGAAGCTTATTATATTAACAGCCGGTGCGGTGCGTCTACATCTATATTGGGGGACACGGGATTCATTGAAACAGGCGAGCGAATCGTACGACTCCAAATTAAGGTGGCGGGATGGAGATTCGGGCACTGATTTGAGTGAACGAGCGCCGAGAGCTCTCAACATTGCCGCCGACAACGATTTCGCTCTCTGTTATCGTCGCTATCAGCTGGCTTTTCTGATTGCCTCTCGCTCTCAAAAACTATATAGTTACAGGATATACACATACAATCCTACATATAAATGTTTATATACGGACGGAGGTTTTTCGATTTATATTTTTATTTTACGGCACGCGCAACTGTGGAAACAACGGGGGCGCGTTATCTGTATATGTTGGGCGAGACCGAATTCTAGAGGCCCAACAAGAACCATGTTGCGTATTAAAGAGGAATATGTAGGCATGTTTGTTTGAATTGGCCAGTTTTTAGTACATCTTTTGGATTAGTAAGTGTCTAATATACAAAATTCAGTTAACTCTTAGCTTACAATCCCATTGATTAGATTATGGACTGTACGTGAGAGAAATGGGATGACATATTGGGCTTGTTGTTAAATTCCAGACACTCTCAACATGTTTGTTGATAAGAACTGCCACGCCTCCGTCTGGAAGCTATGGAAATCTTTCATAGTACATCTAGTCCTCGCTATCAAGTAATCTTATCAATATTGCCAGTCACTTCTAATTACCAGACATACCATATCTTATCAACATACGAAGGGAGCTCTAAAAAGGTTCACCTCTCTTTCCTATGGGATCTGTAACGCTTAGGCGGTAATTCATGGATTTGATCAAGGTGCCAGAGCTGGAACTTGTGAGGGTATTTGCAGGTGTATTTGACTTGTCCCATCAAAAAGTAATAATTGTAGTCTGCAGTGCTACACGTGCCGCTGATATTCATTAGCATTAGGCTATTTTCCAATCTATAAATTGTTAATATTTTTATTTGTATCATTGGGCCAAGGTTACTTGGATAACTTCAGTTTTAAGTTCTGTAAGTTCTGTAAAATAGAAAATAAGTTCTTATTATCTCCAAGACTTGCTGTGACCTTTGATTGCAACCATTTCCTTAAAATAGCTGCTGCGGTGTCTAATTAAAAGCTTATCCAATTGAACCTTCCTCCCAGGCGATATATCAGTTTCTAAGAATGACCGAATCAAAGTGCAAAGTACAGCAAGATATTGGGGGTAAAATTAATCCAAGATAGTATTAATTATATCGGAAATATTATGAATTAGTTGACACATGTATTCAGTATAAAGAATGATCGTGGTGCCGAGAATGTTCTTGCTTTCATGTTTTCTTTTAATTCTCCTCTTCGTTTTCTTTGGGCTGGGCAGAGCGAAGGGCTGTGTATTTGGTTGTCACAATGGATGATATGGAAACACAATGCAGATACTTTGCCTCGATTTGGAATTTATTTAAGGGCATCTAAGGGCCAAAATTGTTCATACGTTTTGTATGTCCGTTAAATTGTTGTAATTCTACATATCAATGCTTGCTACATGTACTAAATTCTACATGTAGTAGAATGTATAAATCGCAACAGAGCCACCTGGCACCGAAAAATCGAATCTTTTTCCGTGTTCCAAAAGAATTATATACGAACTTTTTTATTTGAACTAAATTTGGTAACGATTAAAATAAAAAGAAGTCCTGAAAACTAATCAATCTTGTAGTTTATTGAATCATCAATTGTAATAAATCATAGTTTTAGCGCTGGAACTCTTAACAAGCTGGTAATATTAAACAGAAGATGAAAGTCAAGGAAAATGATTTTAGATTTGCGGTATATTTTGAAAATGAAAGTTAATATTTCGGTATATTTCCGAGGGTCTGTCGGTATATCTTATCGGTAGTTCCGAGGTCACACTGCACTCAACTTTTAACTCAAAACTCAAAATTGGCTCAAAATCTTAAATTTATTTGTTATTACTGCTCGCTGCGTGTTGTACAAGTTTTTCGCGATGTCAATCTACGCCAAAGTCGAAAAGGGACCCGCAATTGAGGTTTTTGCCTTAACGCAAGCATTTAAAGACGATTCCAACCAAAACAAAGTTAATCTGTCTGTGGGCGGTAAGTAAATATTTCTGTCCGTCTGTGCGTTGTTGTTTTTAGCACTTACATGTGTAAATGCATACACGTGCATATGTGTGCAATGCATGTGCTGTGTACTTTAAATGTGTAGCGTATAAGCACTTGTACAATTTTCTATCATTTGTTAGCTGCCGCCCTGCAGCCAGCCACCTCTTGTTCGCATGACTTGGTTGTCCCCCTCTCTGCTGGAGGTCATTTGGAAGTCACTGGGCAATATTAATTGGTGTGATTCTCTTTCCTTTGGGTGGTCTGTCATCTTCCGCTTTCAATGCAATTTGTCTCCTACACTATTTTATATATCTTTTATATATTTGCGACACATTCGCAGCTGACTGACGATAATAGTGCCAGCTAGGGCAAATCACTTTCCTGTTTTTGCTTCTAATTGACGTCAGCTAGTACAGTATTTAGTTATGTACTAGTATGCATAACGATAAGCCGCTAGGGTTCAACCTTTCTTTCCATCAGCTTAGAGCGAGGTCGTTGCTGATTTGGATGAATGCCATTTCACCTGTTTTGTTTTTTGTATACCATATTTATGGATTTTTTTGGCTGATCCAGCTGGTCCCAACTTTTAGATTTATGGATGTTGTTGCATAATTTAAATAAAAACTCCCCACCAGCGAATTGTTTGCGTATTTTGATTTTGTTTTTCTCAAAGTTGAAAGTCAATAACCTTTGCCTCCTCGGTCGTGTATTCTTATTCTCATGTTAATGGTGGCTTGTAGCCATACATAAATTCTATTCTTATACCTTTACAATGCTAAAAGTAATAAACTTTAATTTGTTAATTTTTGTGTTTGTTTTTGGCTGGTTTTACTGTGGCCAATCCATCAGCTATGGTTTTCTCGTCTCGTTTTTCTATCACGCGCCACAAAAACAAGCAATTCCAGAGCAATTACTTAAATTGGTTTCAAATAACCGGACGAGCGTATACGTAATGGCCTAGAAACAAGAGTTTTCACACTATCGGATTTCGTTCGGCATTAACTATTGATTACGCATACTAAGTCCGTCCAGATAAGATATCAGATAGTATACAATTTAGCACTTTGGACAATGGATTCCCGCAAACACTTGTAGAGGCGCTTGTCTTTCTGTTAATTTCTGTTGTTGATAAATTGTTTTACTTCGTTTACAGCTTACAGGACAGATTCCGGGGCGCCCTGGGTCCTGCCTGTGGTGCGAAAAACCGAAATAAAAATCGCCAGCGACGAATCTGTTAACCACGAGTATTTGCCAGTGACTGGTGAGTAGCTCATGGATTCCATTAATTATATCACTTTAATGCAAGAATCTCTATTGTCCTCAAAGGTCTTGAATCATTCACAAGTGCAGCCACCGAATTGGTGCTGGGTGCCGATTCCATTGCCATCAAGGAGAATCGCGTAAGTAAAACAGACTTAATTTTCGCTTGATCTTGATTTCATTTGATTATTTTTGGCAGGCTTTTGGCGTGCAGACTATCTCCGGCACAGGTGCGCTGCGCGTGGCTGCCGAGTTCCTGCACACTCAGTTGAACAGGAATGTTGTCTTTTACTCGAATCCCACATGGGAGAACCATCACAAGATATTTGCCGACACTGGTTTCACCTCGCTGCACTCCTACCGCTACTGGGACCAAAGCAAGCGTCAGCTGGACTTTAAGGGCATGCTGGCTGATCTGGACCAGGCTCCTCCCGGAGCAGTGATCATCTTGCATGCGTGCGCACACAATCCCACAGGCATAGATCCCACGCAGGAGCAGTGGAAGGAAATTGCCGATCTGATGGAGCACAAGAAACTCTTCCCGCTGTTCGATTCGGCGTACCAGGGCTTTGCCAGCGGTGACCCCGATCGCGATGCTTGGGCTGTGCGGTATTTCGTGTCGAGGGGCTTTGAGCTCCTAACGTGCCAGTCGTTTGCAAAGAACTTTGGCCTGTATTGCGAAAGGGCTGGCAACTTGACGGTGGTGCAACAGCACGCATCCACCAAGCCTGCGGTGCACTCACAATTGACTTTGATTATCCGAGGCATGTACTCCAACCCACCGGCCTATGGCGCTCGCATCGTGTCCACCGTGTTGAACACACCGGAATTGCGCCAAGAATGGATGGACTGCATCAAGCTAATGTCGAGTCGCATCCGGCAAATGCGTGCACTGCTGCGGGACAAGCTCGTTGCTCTGGGAACGCCTGGCAACTGGGACCATATTGTCAATCAAATTGGCATGTTCTCGTACACGGGCCTCAATGAGAACCAAGTGCGATACCTCATCAAGGAGTATCACATCTATCTCCTAAAGACGGGGCGCATCAACATGTGTGGCCTTAACACGGGCAACATTGAGTATGTGGCCAAGGCCATCAATGCCTCGGTCACCGCCGGGTCGAACGTTTCCTGCCCCTGCGACAACAAATTGTAATAAAATGTAACTTCAGTCATAGAATGTGCACCGGATATACCATGATACACTGAATTATGCTACCCATAGGCAATTAGCATTTAAACGAAACTGTTGTCCCAGCAACAACCCAACTACGTAACATTTAAACCTGGCCTTTATATACAACATGTACAACATACTCTTTACCTAATTGGATTATACAATGTACACGTCTTTGCACATTAGAGTTCCTTATCTACTGTTGGTTAACCAATGTTTAGCATAATAACTACTCTTTATTGACTTGTGTGTAGTCCTTAGTTACAGCGACAATAACAATACAAAAGTATTCAGAATGCGCGTTTAATTCCTTTGACAAATTTGAACTGCTGGATGACTTTAACCTGTTTGCTTTGAACACTTTAAATACAACGAAACGCGCCCACAACAGCAGAAGCAATGATATTTTTTGCATCGATTTTTGTTTCGATACAATTTAGTTGACTATCGATAGTTAGAACAGCTGACCAAGAAATCAACAACAAATCTGATTTCACAAAATGTTAACTAGCTAAATCCCACAATTTGTATGTAAAAAGAAAAACAAATACTAATGGCGGGTAAGCAATTAATCCAAACACCATTGGCTCTTCAATTACAAAGTTTTGCCTTTGGACAGACGATCCAAACAAGCCCTCAACCTCGACGAAAGCGGATAAAACGCCGCTGTTTCCACCTGCCAAGCCTGGCAAACGGATAGACTACGGCACAAATGATACACTGGAGCTTCTGGAGCGCATACCCAGCCAAGTGGTGGATCTCAAGCTGGACGATGTGCTAACCGCTGTTAAGGAGGTGGACAACCTCTGCGACTATTCGCGCTGCAAGACCAAAACGAGTCTGATGGGCCAGGACTGTCCGCACTGCAAGAAGCGGTTCTGCTTCAAGCATGGTCTGCCCGAGGTCCATGGCTGTGGGGAGGACATCAAGCGGGAAGAGCGCAAGAAATTTATGCACCCCAAACCATTGAAGACAGTGCGTCACGAGGAGGATGTCAAAAATGCCAAAAAGCGACTGGATGCCAAGTTGAAGGATATGCAAGTTGGGCGCATGCAGAAGACGCCTGGCGGGGGCTCCAAAAAGAAAGGAAAATAGTCTCTCAATTTATAGTTGTCCCCCATCACACAATACACACATACACTTGCACTTTGACAGCTGATGAAATCAGCTGTTCTCGCGTTCTCAAATCTTGCAGTTCATGAAAATATGATTAAAATACAGCCTAGACATTTAATAAACCTGAAAAACGTTCGCTTTAATCTACTGTCTGCCCGGAATTTGCACTATGTTCAGGGACAGTCGCCAGAGCCGAAAATACGAGAATATTTCTACTACATTGATCATGAGGGAATGGTAAGTTGCACCAAGCATTAGTTGGCGTTTAATTACTAATAATGGAATGTGTGCCCTTCAGCTCTTCTTGGACGATGCTAGGATGAAGAACTTTACCAGTTGCTTCAAGGAGAAGGATTTCCTCAAGTTTTTCTTTACTCGCCTACGTCTGAACAAAACGCAGCGATACCTCAGCGACTTCCCCTACATCTCTCTCTGCGGACGCGAACGCAACTTTATACGATGCGACGACACGCCGCTCGTATTCACTGAACAATTGAAGAAGGTAGACGGCGGCGAGGAAGTTCTGAGCTATGCCCATGCAGGCCAAGTTCTAACATTGCCCTTTGAACCGCATCAATTGTATATGGATCCCAAGAATGGACGGGTTTATCATCCAGCCACGCCACAAGTGGGTGGCATTGGCCTCGTTCGCTCCAAACTGGCCATTGAACTTAGCCAACACTTTGAGTTTCCAGCCGGAGACGCGTCTCCGACACATTTCAAATGGCACGGCGAGCGATTGAAGCTGGAGAATGATTGGGTTACCGGAACTCAACGGTTTCCCATGAGCGAGGAGTGTCAGTAGCTGAATAGTGTAACATTAAACTTTAATGGAATATAATTGAGACAACATTTGAACTACTATATGTACAGATTACCTTTACTCAATGCTCAACGGCTTGAATTCGCCCTCCTTCACCCAAGAGAGGCCGGTGGCAGCGCCGCCATTCGCCTGTTGAAGGCTGGAGTCCGTCTGGTTACACCTGCCCGCTTTGATTCGCTCCAAGACCGGCCCATGCACATCTGGTTGAAACTTTTCAAATGCTATATAATGCGGATCCTCCGTAGGTTGTGGGTCATAGATGTGCTCCTTGCTCTCCTTGATGTTCTCCAGGACGCGGGCAGCAAACTCCTCACGGTTGTTTAGCAGCAGGTCGGCGGCCTCGGGATTCTTTAGTTTGTCAATTTCAATGCCTCGCATGCTGTCCAAGGGGTCCGAAAATATCGCCTGCATGTACTTGAAGAGCTGCCAGAGGTGATCTTCGCCACATCGCCACTCTGGAAAGGCATGACTAATGTCCAGGCTGTTGGTGTACGGGCACACATGGGGATGCAGGATATTTTGCTGAAAAATTACAGTCTAAAAGGGAAAGATTAGTAAAAGCTATCTGCCTGCACAGTTGGCAGCATTTACTGGAAGACTTTTATCATCCGGGAAACGTTCGGGCAGCAGCAGAGAGAACCGAAATACGCTTTCTGCGTAGAAGCCCTGGCGTCCAAAGAAGACACCAAACCATTCTGAAAAGAAGTGGAATATTGAAGTGAAGTGTTCATATTTATGCATGTAGCAATACTAACGCAAGGAATTGGCTAAACTGGGTATTGTATATATGCCACCCAGCTTCTCCGACTCAATCATTTTGCTGGAAATGGAAATGATTAGCAGAGACTCGAAGGACAAAACAGAGGCGCTTACTATTCAGCCAGGATTTTGTACTCCTGATTGATCAGGATCTTATCTTCCTTTTTGATTGCATCCAAGTCGAGTGTCATCGTGATACGAATATGTTTTAAGACTATTAAAAACTATTAACTATTAAAAATAAACAAGAGCGCAGTAGTGTGACCGCGGATTTATCAGCAAAATATACCGCAAGACCCAAAGTATACCAAAATATACATTCTCATCTGCTTAAATCACTTTACTTAATTTTGATGTTCTGTTTAATATTACTAGCTAGTTAGGATTCTCAGCGCTAAACATATAGTTTTATCCGATTCATTAATCAATTCTCTATAAGATAGGTTAGTTTTCATGACTTTTTTTGTATTGAATTGCTTGCAAAATAAGGTTAAAACTGAAAAGGTTAATGGATATGGAATGTTACGTATTTGACCACTTGTGGCTTGTCAAGCGGTATGAGGCATTGTATATTTTATTTTCTTTAATTAATATTGAAATTTCGTTTGCCAAGCTGCTCCTAAACATTAATATAATAAGATCTTCGCGAAAAGAGCTGCCACAAGAATTAGTGGTATTCCCTAAAGTGATTTAAAGTTTGGTTAGAAAAGTCTAAATCAGACTTAAATCAGCTGCTAGGTTGATACTAAACAAACGCAAAGTGCCTTGCGAGATAAGCCCCCCTCTCTTGATCGAAGAGAACACCCGAAATTTTGTGAACTTTAAATCTTAGCAGAGCAGCAACCAAGAAAGATAAATTTCAGTCGAATTTCAAACTTGAAGGATCAGCCAAGGACACTTGCCTTTTGTTAATTAAAATGCTCAACTAATCCCCATTTAATTTAACTTTCCCAGCGGCAAAATCATCAAGTAAGTAATTACAAAGCAGTGCGGGTGGAGGTTGTGGTGGGGAGTCACCTGAGGAGGAGCCTATGCCTATGCCTATGCCGATGTCAATTAAGTGTGGGCTACCCACACAGCATTCGCATACAGATTTATATTCATAAGCCAAGGCATGGCCGGAATCTTGTGGCATTTATAATTGAATTCCAGCGTAGACTTCCAGTCAAAGCTACCACAATGTGACCCACCTGCCCTGTCCAACTGGACATTATAGTAATGAAGCCAGCCACAGTCAATTTCAATAACGCAATCAAATAACGTGCAGTTTCAAAACCACAAAAGCCCAACGAGAAGAGAAGAGAAGAGGAAGCAAATGCCCTTCACAAAGCCATGGCCAATAGACGAACCCGAGTGTCCGAGTGTCCGAGTGTCGAGGCAATCGTTTTGGGCATTCCCGGCACGTAGTTCCAATGTCCATCCATGGCTGCGGTACTTCTTAGAGAAAAGGAAGCTCCCGATAATGGCCTAGCCGGGCCGAGCCGCATGCATATTTCAGTAATTTGCGCTACCTTTAGCACCAACGCCATTCGTGTCCCATTCCAGTCATTTCCGGTCTACATATTTCATGAGGGCGGGCGGCCAAAACTTTGCGGATGCAGCAATTTAAAGGAAAAAAGGAACCACTCAAAATGTAATCGAAATGTGTAAGACGCACGCCGCACTCCCCCCACGCACCAGAATACTCATCGCACTTTGATGTGTGTGTGTGTGTGTTTTTGTTTGCATCTGTATTCATGACCCTCCTGCTGGCTCCGCTGACGCTTGAAGTAGTCATTTTGATTTTCAATTTCAACGCCATTTGCGCTCCACTGGCATCGAGAGTCATTTGCATTATTCTACAGCCAATGGAGCCCAAATGCGCAGATCAGATCAGTTCCACAAAGAACTCTTAAGAGTTGTGCGCTTGATCCTGTGCTAACTTACGCGACAATTTGTGCACATTTATTGAATGGGGAAATTTAAAAACGGTTTCATTTGAGACACAATTTGGTGCAGAGATGCCAACGTTTTGTTATGCCATAAGTTCGAGTATATGCCAATAAAAATGGAAGGCGCTCTTGTCGTTTTTTGTTGCTGTTTTGGCCTTGCCCGGCCAAGTCTGTCTGACTTTGTGTATTTTTATGTGATTTCTCGAGCCATCTTCTATCGGTGGGGGGCATACGGAGCGTGCTCTCATGTGAGATTGAATGGCAAATGGGGAAAATGTTATGCCATTTATTTAGAGTATTCCAGCAAGTCCCAGTCCCAGTCCCAGTCGCAGTCCCAGTCCCAGTCCATTTGCAATTGTGCAATTTACTCAATGAAATGTAAATGCGAATCAATTGTAGTTTTATTTGCAGTAAAATCATTTCATTTGCATATTGCTCTGTGTGTGACTCTGACTCTTCTTACTTCCATTTGGCATCAAATTTAGCTAGTTAGTTCGTTAGTCAGTTCGCTAGTTGCAGCCACTAAAAGAGTTGAGTGGAGCGGGCGAAAAACATCAAAAGGCACTTTGTGGAGTGGCAAACTTTTGGCGGTTCGCACCTGAGAGCAGATGTACCAAACAAATACATACATGAGCTGTACGTGAGGTCTGCCACTCGGCTTACAGCGACGAAATGATATGCCAAACTACACGACAGAACACAGCAGAGCCCACGGAATTCAAGGGGGCCGTTGGGGTGTGGCGCTGCAGGCAGGCAGGCGTCAACGGCGACATCGACATTATCGTGGCGCAGGTTGTAGCTGTAGCTAATGCTTGTCACGTCTCCTTCAACATTTGACAAGGCAAATTCGCGCAAAAGTACAAAAAAAAGGAGAATAAAGAGAAAAGAATTCGGCACGTTGTCTGGCTCTGGCTCTGGCTCTGACTTTGTTTTTGTGTGTTGTCGACGAAGAAAATGATTTTCACAGGTGAATTGGAAAGCGCGTAATGTTGTAATGTTTGACTTGCCAGCAGGCACGTGCCCCATCCACCGACACTGACTGCAAATATCGCGTAGTGTATTCCCGCCAGTGTGCCGCCAGTACCCCATCGAAGAGCCAACGCTGCGTATGTGTGTTCCAAATGCGAGGCGCCACTTTTGCAAATTGGATGAGAATCTTTGGCTTTTCAGCAGCCCAATTCGTTTGGCGTTTTGTTTGCCACCTTCACCTTTTTGGCTGCTTTGTTTCTGCGCCTCTTGTGTGTGTGTGCATCAGCCTGGAAATTGACATATCTTGGCCATGTCATGTTAGAGTGCCTGGTGCCTGGTGCCTGGGTTGCATTTCTTCAAACACATGCAAAATATGCGGCCGCCCCTCACTCATTCATCATGGCACGCCTGGCGCTGTCACACGAGCGAGAGAGCAACAAATTTTTAAGGCAAAAGGATTTACGGCCAACAACTACACACAAAAAGGACAACACGAGGACAGGACAGGACAGGAGACAAGCAAGTTTCGAGCTTACTTCGTGTTCTTGCTAGAGATTTTTTTTGTAAACTTTTCAGTTTGCCTCGCCAGCCGGCACTCCCTCAAGAAACAAATTCAAACAAATCGAAGAGCTGTGCTCTGTGGCTGAAGAACTCTCCTTTTGGCAGGGGCAGCGGCAGGAGCTGAGGCTCACCTTGGCGCCCATCAAAGCCAATCTGAGCCAACATGTGTTACAGCGTCCGACGAGTGCCCAAACTCTACTAACTCTTCTATTGCCCCAAGCTGAAGCAAACTTTAAGTGGACTGGCGGATTCATCTTGCTCGGGTTAAAGCTGCTGCTGCTGGTGCTGCTGTCATTGAGGTTCATTGAACCAAATGCCAAAGCGGAGCACATTTCCGCATGTCCCTGTCTGAGTCGCAGTCGAAGTTGGAGTCACTGCACCGAGGTCGTTCTCTGGCTGCAAAGAAACTCTGCTGAGTGGCTGGCCTGCAGACGTGTCCTGCCTTTGAGAAATGTGCACATAATTATGGTGCCTGCTGCTGCTGCTTTGAATGCTTTGAATCTAAAGCGTTGACAGATGCAAAGGGAAATGGGTAATGGGTAATGGGTAATGGGAAATGGGAGACTCACACTTGAGAAAGTGTCTTTAAAGCGTTGCTGTGACCTGCTTAAAGCCTCTATGCTCGCATCAGCTCTTAATTAATGTTGCATAATTAACACAGCAAGGAGAAGCGCCCAAGGAAGTGGTTGGGGCAAAAAGGTAGCGAAACAAAGTTCAGGAAAAAGCAAAGCCAAACAAAACAACAACTTTTCTAAGCATTTGCAAAACATAAAGCATACAAATTCTCACATCTCCCCGGCCAGGGGACCCGCAGAATATGGCAGGAAAGAAAAATTGCGGCTGGCTCCCAAAGGGGAGCCAAGCCACAGCCAAGAGCCAACAGCCAACACAGCCTTTTGGCCACCTTTGACTTGGGGAACGCCCTCAAATTGGCGCCAAGTTTTAATTATTCCATCATATTTATAAACTTTTGTACTTGCCACGCAGACTCATTATGTGCGTCATCCACAAACACCATGCCCCGTACCGGCTATAACTATAAGGCAAGGCAAGTGCCTGCTTGTTGTTTCCCCACACAATAATGCCTGGCGACAATGGCGGCAAGGACAATGACGACGTCTGGGCAGGCACCGTCTCAGCGCCAGCCACAAGGAGGCGCAAGGCGTTACTCCATAAAAATGAACAACAGCTTTTTATTGTCGAACAATGAAGGCGAAAGCAGCTCTAAACAGAGCAGGGCACAGACCTAAAGTTCGACCTTTCCTTTAACTCACGATCCTGCTTGCTGTTTGCTGCTTGCTGTCGTTGTCCTTGTCTCTTTGCTGCTGAGCATTTAATGAGGCTGTCCCATTATTGTTCAATTGTGCTTGGCCTGCACACGGAAGGAAAAGCCCGGCACGATGACAGCTCTCTAATTAATCGATTTATACATGAAGACTCGTTGCAGTAAATGTTTGCAGTAAACTCAATTTTATGAATACTAAAGCCAAAAACCCTAAAGCTAAGAACAGAGAGAGAAAGACCGAACAGCCGCCTCTGATTGGAAATTAAATCGTGATTGGGAAACCATCAACGATTAATCCGCCTTGGATCCTTCCTTTAAGAAGCCCCAGGCAGCTGGATCATTCGCTATTTTCCGCTTTGCTGGCACTGCCTGGCCCTGCCTAGGGCCACAATTAATTGAAGGGGACAAAAAGCAGCCATTTCGCTGATGAAACTAATAACATGTCAACCGAGTTACGCACCAAAGCACACGAAGGAAGGCCTCTCTCTCTCTCTCTCTCTCTCTCTCTCTTTG